CACACACATTATCACACACATTATCATACTCATTCTCACACCCATTATCATACTCATTATCACACTCATTATCATACTCATTATCACACTCATTATCATACTAATTATCACACTCATTATCATACTCATTATCACATCCATTATCATACTCATTATCACACCCATTATCATACTCATTATCATACTCATTATCATACTCATTATAATACTTATTATCATACTCATTATCATACTCATTATCGCACTCATTATCATACTCATTATCATACTCATTAGCACACTCATTATCATACTCATTATCACACTCATTATCATACTCATTAGCACACTCATTAGCACACTCATTAGCACACTCGGCCCCACGCCGCCTCACGCTCACCGCTACACTCCCTCACGTCTCCACCAATCACGTCCCTCGCTCCCCCTTGGCCCCGCCCCTGGCCCCGCCCCCCTGGCCCCGCCCCCGAGCTCTCCCCCCGGCGGCCTGGCGTGCGCACGCGCGGAGGTTCCGTGACCGCGGGCCGAGAGCGGCAGCGCCGGGCCCTGCTCGGGGTGAGGGGCCGGGGGGCCGGGCCGGGTGAGCGGTGACCGGACCGGGGCACAGCGGCGCCGGGATGGGGGGCCGGGCTGGACTGCGCTTCGCGGGGTGGGTACCCCCGGGTGGGCACTCCCAACAAGCCGTTCCCCGTGCCGCGCAGCCCGGGCCGTTCGTAAGGGACCGCCCGGGCCGTTGTGGCCGCTTCGGACTTGGCCTGCCTGGCGTCCCGTCGGCCCGGGGACACGGACGCCGTTCCCCTCGCACCAGGCCCCGGCCCCTCCGGAGGCGGTCGGTACCGCCCGGACGCTCCTCGGCACCCGTGGGGCCCGGGGGTGTCCGTGGTACCGGGGGGACCGGTGGGAGCCAGCAGACAGCTGCGGTGGGTGCCGGGGGCTGCCCAGGGCCCCTGGGCCGAGGGGAGCTCCCTGAGGGGCGGGTGGTCCCGCCGGGCCGGCCCCGAGCCACCGGCTCTTCCAGGTGGGACCCAGCTTGGCTGTTCCGGAGCTCCAGGAGCTCCTGCCGGGAAACGAAGGCGTTGGGGAGCTGGAGGGGCCCTCCGGATCGTGCCAGGTTCGCACCCCACACATCAGATCTCCGCACTAATGAATAACCCTCCCCGGTGCCCAGAAGGATCCAGGAGTAATCGGGTTGGACGCAAAGTGTGGTGAGGTCCCGTGTCCAGGTGGGATCCCGTGTCTGGGTGTACCTTCCCTCCTCTCGCTGCCTCAGTTTTTCTATTCACCCTTGCCCGAAACCAGCCCTCGGCTTAATTGACAGGCAAACGCTTTGTTCGGCTCAGTTGCTGTCTCTGTTTTCCCCCTCCGAGGGGAACTCGCTTAAAAGCTTGTTTTGAATGGAAGCAGTCCAGGTTTGGGGCAGCCGGGTTTATTTCTTCTGTTGTTTTGGCTGTCAACCGAGCCACCTTGTGCCGTGAGAATCAGCAGAGGCTGGGAGAGGGCAGGACTGGGATGGATCTGCGTGCTTGGAGTTATTACTGTGACCCTTCTCTGCTTCCGAGCTCTGTTCTTTCTCTTTCCTTGGTGCTAATCGGTGCTGGGTGCTTGTGTAAGAAACGGTATGTTTGGGTATGAATTACCTGGCAACAGCTTCCAGCCCTGTAGCATCGGGTTTTGCCCAGAAGTGCAGTTCAGCTGGTGTGGGAGCCCTGGCTGGGTGAGTTGGGGTCGGGGGAGAGCACAGGGCACCTGTAACGTTGCTCCAGTCGTGCCCCCTGCACAGGGTCACGTCTTATTGCAGCCCTGTGGCCTCCCTGTGCTTTATGTGCTCCCCTAATCCCTGTGTAATCTCTTCCCATGGGATCTTTGTTGCCCTCCCAGTCCTGTCTCTCAAAGTAGTGTTTTAACAATCTGTCCTGAGCACTCTCTTTTCTGAAAAACTTGCTGAAAAGTCTCTATTTTACCAATCTGGTGATTTTTATTTTTAATTCAGCCCAGCAGCTCCCAAGGCTCTTTTTCTTTTCCAGGTACAAGCTCGCATTTCTTGAAAACTTTTATCAGCGCTGGCAATTCAAGTTCAGAAACTTAAAAAAGGAGTTGGCATTTTTAGAAATCATCTCAGACCTATGAATTTTAAGATCCTGCATTTAAAGCGAAATGAAATTCTGCTTTCTGGAAGTAGAACAGAAAATTAAACACAGCTTTCAAAGGCTTTAATTCCCATTCTCCAGCTTTCTCACCACCATTAGCTGGAGTTTGAGGAGCAGGGAGTGAAGCTGTTGGAAAATACATCTGAAATGCACTCCATTTTTTTCCTGTCCAAGTCCCCAATTAAAGCCATGTGGACAAATGTTTCAGAGGTTGTGTTTGGTGTAAAGTTCCAACCAAGCAAGTCCAAACTCAAGCTCTGAGTTGCCAAATACCTTCAATGTGAAGGGCATCTGGCTGGAATATTTAAGTATGCACTTGAATTAGCCAGGGTTTTGTTTTCACTGGAGGAAGGTTGGCCCAGAGGATTTCTGACTGGAGCCACAACTGTTTGGTGAATAAGAGCTTTTAGGGTTGATGTGAATTTCAGCTTTTCAAGGTATTTTTAAAGCTTGAGGGGAAGTGTTCTAGTCTGTGGGATTTGAGTAGGGATGTGAGTTGGGATGTGTAACACATCCCAAACCGTGTCCCACTCTTCCCCAAACCCTTTCTGCAGTGGTGTAATGCTGCACACTGTACAAGTAGCTCCAGTATTGAATTTCTCAGCTTTTAATATTTGTGTGCTGCTGAATTCTCCATGAGAAGTCAGGAACTGCAACTTTAGGCCTTTTGCTTTCTCATTTTCCATAACTCCAGGACTTGTGTAACTCTGGCTTACTGATGCTCTCCCACATTCCTCGCTTCCCAATCCCTGCAAACAGCTGCTGGCTCCAGCAGCTTTCAGCAAGGACTGGCAGGAGGCTGAAATATGCCCCTTGCTCCTCCTTTGGAGCAGCAGTCCCAGCGCAGGAAATATTTTTCCACTCTGATGGGGAAGTGGATGTTGGAGCACGCGACACGCACGTGCAGTCAGCCCGGGTACCTTCACGTGTGGTCCAGGATTCACAGCATCGCTGCCACCCCGGGTGAGGGACAGGCTGTTGTCACCCAGCTGTTACCCCAGCGAGTGTGAGGTGGCCTGGGAAGGAGGTGGCTTTTCTGCTTTGGTGTCTTTTCTGCTTCGGTGTCTTGCTTGTTTGCATTTCCTGCTGCTGTTTCAGAAAGGAAGGAAAACGAATTGCTGACTCCCTCCTCACAGCCTCCCTCTTCTCTGCTCTGCTTGTGGCTGCACATGAATATTTGGTAACAACTTTGGGGGGAAAAACGGTGTTGGTTCTGTGTTTGGGGTTCAGAGCACCTAGTGCAGGTGGGTGGGACAGAAAAATGCCACAGCTTGGGTTTTGCTCTGAGTCAAGCAAGGACAATGCCAGTGGTCCTTGAGGTGGTAAAGTGTTGGTGTAAAACCTGCCATAAAAAGAAGTGGCAGAGGCAGGTGTTGTATTTGATACCTTAAGTCTTAATTTGCTGTTTTTTGAGCAGTAAAATAACTGTCCTTGGTGTGTTGAGCAAGAATGGATTACAAGGAAAAGATTAATAGCAGAGACCGGGGTAGGATCTTGGTGATCTGGAGCAGTTTGTCACCAAGACCAGTTGAGCTGGGGGTGTTGTGTAAAAATCTCAGAGCATCTCATAAACTAATTTACACTGAATTCCTGGGGAAATTGCTGCCTTCCTCTTATAAATGCAGACGTGTGGGTGTGTCTGTTCTGTGCTCGCTCTCCTTCTCTGTCTTTTTTAAGCTATCAAGCCACACAGGCATGATGGATGGGACGCTCCACGGAGCGTGGGATCTTCCCCCATCCGGCAGGGATGTCATTCTCTGTGCAGATGGCATCCTCCAGTGGAAGCCACCCACTGCTGCTCTGCCTCTTGGGAGACCTGAACTTTTCCATTGGATTGGAAGGAAGCTCACGGCTCCCTGCTGACTGCTGGGAGTTAAGCGAGCAATCAATGACGTGAGACCTCAGAAGGGAGAAGGCGAATTTATTTTAAAACAAAATGAGTTTCACTCATTCGCAGCCAAACCCACCTACACACGAGCACCAATGTGGGGATCTCCAAGTGGTTGTCCAGCATTTGGACAGATGTGTGTGCAGATGGTTTGGACAGGATTCCTTGGAATGACACAACAGACAAGGAATGTCAAATATCAGACCTCTGGTGTCTCTTGGTCATCATGCCTTTCGATCTGCTCTTTTTACATCCCTTGGGGGCTGAGAGTGATGATCTCTTCTTGTTGGAATTTATTAACTGTCTTTTGTGTCTTTGTCTGGTGTCTTTGGGCTCCTACCCTTTCTCTATTCTTCCCCAAATCATCTCTTAAGGCCTCGAGTCTCTGATGCTGATTGTCCCTTGTTTCAAGATGTTCCTTGTTTTCCAACCTGAAAAAGGTGTGCTTTGATCTTGAGGACCTACTAAATCAGTGCCCTCAGCACAGGCAGTTGATTATGCCCTGTGTTCCTCCTGGTTCTCTTGTACTCCTTCCCATCTGTTTTTTGCTGGGATCACACTCCACTAAAGAAGTGTGTGTACCGTGATTTGCAAACTGTACATTAAGAGTTTTCTTCTGGCTTTGTTTGCATGTGCAGTGCTGCACAGGAGTCACAGGACTGATCCTGGGCCAAAACTAAGTGCTCAGAAGCCTGAATGGAGCTGGTGGTGTAGCCCTGAAGCTCAGATCAGTGGGAAGAGTTTGGGGAGCACTTGTGTAACTCAGTCATTTCTGTGAATGAGTGTTTGGCCAGCATTTGGCAGCTCACATTGGGGTGGTCAGTGTAATGCTGCCAGGAGCAGTGCCCAGCATGGGGAAGGGGCAGAATGGCAGCTTGCCTTGGCACACTGCTGGCTAGTGAGTGTCTGTCTGAACTCATGCCAAGGCTTACAGGTCTGCCTGACACAGATCAGCAGTGGCTCAGGGATGGTTTGGTACAGCTCTGTGGTGACTCAGGTGGTGTTTGGTGCCACAAACCATAGGAAGCAGAGCCTCCCTGAAGAGTGTTTGCCCTCAATTAGCAGAAGTTGGCAGCGGGTGGTGGTACCTCACTCACGCTCAGACAGAGGGTTTTGAGGCCAGTCTGCTTCTCTGGATTCTCAATCCATAGTGACCATCTTCTGTGAAAGTCAGAGCTTGTGTGATGTGGAGGTAGGGTGGGGGGATTCAGGACATCATTCTCAGCCCTCTGTGCTCTCTGTTTCTTGTTGCAGGTCCCCAGGAGAAAATGGTGTAAGGCCAGCACAGCTGCCACTTCCAACCACGGCGTGCCCAGACCTCAGGGAGGAACATGGCAGCAGCTCAGGGAGCAGGAAGCGGTTCAGCCGGGCCGTCCGGCCCGCCCGGTTCTGCCCCGGGGCACAGCAGCACCTCCACAGCAGTGGCGGTGTGGGAATGGCAGGATGAATTTGGCAGGTGGAGGCCGTACCGAGGCAATGTCTGCAGCTACATTGAGCAGGTTATCCAGGCCTCTCAGCAGAAGGGCCGGCGCTCAGGGTCGGGGCTGGCCAGCAGCATCCCTTTGGGACACGCGGATCCTGCCTTGGCTCCCTATGTCATCGACATTCCAAGCTTGATGCAGTTCCGGCAGGACACAGGTAAGGGAGCATCCCCGCCTGTTCTGCTGGTGTGCTTGGGTGTGTGTAAGAGCCCTGCAAAGCTCTGCTGTTTGCTGCCATGCTGGGCAGCTCTGTGAGCACATCTGCTGCTCTCCTGATGCTGTCTGCTGCCCGGTGTGGAAAAATCTGTGAAGCTGGATGCAGACAGACAGCCGTGATCTCTTCAGGAGCATCATCATGGGAACCCTGGAGCTCCCAGCCTGTGAGCCAGAGCTCTCAGAGCTGGAAACTCCCCCTCCTCCAACACCCTCCCCCAATCCATTCAAGATCACTTGCGTAAAAAAGGCCTTTTTACAATTCCAACCCTCCTGCTTGAATCCCTTGCTCCCTCTGGAGCTGGAGTGCCAGCTGCTTTACCTTGGCATGCAGCCCTGCTCAAGCTGCTTGCGAGTGCCTGCGGCCCCCGCACGACACCAAAACGCTGCAGCAGAATATTCCCTCTACTTGTGCTGTGTGAGCCTGGCTCGCTTCCTCCCAGGGAGAAAGGGCAGGATGGGCTCAATAGCAGAATTGAGACCTGATTTTCATTCTCCTCTCTCCTGGGGTCACTGGGAGTAGCAGCTCAGAATCCTGCCCTCTTTTGCTCCAGATGTGCTGAGCAGCTGGAGCTTAGAAAATGGGCAAGGACGGAATGCTTGCACTTCATCCCTGGAAAATCCAGGGAGATCCCAAATTACACACCCTGAATGAACGGCTGCTTTGGAAAATTTCCCATCCATCAGTTTCCCCTTTGACAGTGTCTGTCCCATCACTCCAGGATGCAGTTGAGCATCATCCCAAGCTTTTAGAGAGGGGGCTATGTGCTGGTTTCTTGCCAGTTGAAACAGCAAATGAGCAATATTTTGAATCAACTGCATGATCAGCCAATTCCGGCAGGAAAGGGAAGTGGTTGGAGCAAATGTGAGTGGTCGTCACAGCTGCATCCGTGTTTTTATTCTGACTTGGCGACCTTAGGCAGAGTTTTAATGGTGTCCTGGGTGAGGTGAAGAGTTTTCTAAGCTGGATGCCTTGGCAGGTGTGCTCAGCTTGGCCTGTTCAAACATCTGGAAGGGCAGCTGAGGCTGCGGCTTTGAGTGGCACAGCACGGACCACCAGAGCTGGCACCAGCAGCTGTTTCTTTCCTGTTTTAATCATGCCAAACTTGTGAAGGAGCCTTCCAGCCTTTGGCCGTTTCAGCCAGTGCTCCAACGTTTGGACAGCAGTCCTAAGCTATCTGGTGAAGGTGAGCAGAGAGCCTGTGGGAGGGTGAAACGTGTCCCACATTGCTTTCCACAGGTGCTGCTGTCTGTCCTTAGAGGGTTTGTATCTCTTTAGACCATTGTGAAAGATCTCAAAATATGCAGTGACTATTGTCCATTGCAGGCTGCTTTGGAGCTGTTCATCTCTGGGGGACAGTGCAGTTCAATTCTGGAAATTATGTTGGCTGGTATGATCTCATGTTTCCTTGGTCTAGATCTGAGTTTGAGTTGTTGATAACAAAAAGGCTGATTCTGCTCCACAGCTCTCCTGCAGTGTTTCCCATTGATCCAAAGGGATGCTGATCAGACTGGCCAGTGCTGTGAACCTCCCTCCACAAATACCTGTGTGCTCTGCAACGTGACTGTTGGAAAAGCTGTCATATCCCCTTTCCATGGCCCAGTTCTAAGCAAAGCTTTTTCTCTCTGCAAGGCACTGCCTCAAACGTGAACCTTTCTGAGCAAGCTGCCAGCTGAACTTTGTCATGTTCTGGAGAAAAGAATCTCTGCAGGAAACATCCCCATGAAATATCTTTAAACAGTGCAAAAAATAGGCTGTTGTATTCTGCTCATTAGCTATTAGACAGATAAATAGGCTCTTCAAAGGAAGCCAGGGAGAATAACAGGAAGCCAGTGTTAACGGGAGCAGCGTCCCCAGCAGCAGGGAATGACAGCTGTGCGGGGGGATCTTGTGGGCAGGATTAACTGTGGGCTTCAGCTGCTGCTCAAGGCAGATTAGCTGGGAGTGAGTACTGGGGAGCAGCAGGAGTTGTTCTCCCACCACAGCTGTTTGCCCACCCTGGAGAGGAATACCAGTTTCCCTGCCAGCCTGGGGGAAGGGGGACATTTTCCAAGTGCATGGCCTTGGTCTTGTTGTTGACTCCTAAAAAATCTTCTTTCTGCTGCTGTTTGAGTGTGTTAAAAACACAAGTTGCTTGCAAGTCCTGCAGTCTTCTTTGTGCTGCCTTTAGCTTCTGAGCTTCTGCCAGTGGAGCAGGGGAAGCCTTGTTAATCTCCTGACATGTGTCCCACTGGACACCTTGCCTTATCTGTGGTAGTCCCTGTTCTCTGGGAACAGGTTCCCTGCACTCATTTCTAAATGTAATGCATGTCTTATTATCTCATTCCCAGTCCAGTCCCATCCCTAGTCCTCCTGCTGCTCAGGGCTTCATTCCTGAAGTTACTCACTTTTTGAGGCTGTGAGTTTATGTTTCTGAAGTTTGGCAGGACTTTCTGGATAGGAACAGTCATTGCCAGAGTTTGCGTTTGGCTATTTAGTCTGCTTTTCCACTAAGACATCAGTTCCAGGCTGGGAACGTTATCTTGGTTCTGCTACTTTCTACCAGTGGAAAGTCTGGTCCCACAGGAATCCTGAGCTCCATGGTTGAGCTACTGGGGAGGTTGTTGTGTTTGACTGGCTGCTAGTAGTGTTTTAAGTGTGCTGATGAGATGTTGTTTGTTGGCTGGTGTCACTGGAGAGTCCTGCTCTGCAATAAGCAGGATGCTCAGTGCTGCTCTGGAGCAGAAACACAAGTCTTGGCCTTCCTTGGTCTGGCACATTCTGCCTTTAAGAGAGCCTTAGCCTTTGTGTCAGCTCTGGAACTTCAGCAGTGCCGAGATAAGGAAACACACTTTTCACAAGTGTTTGGAACAATAACAGCAGCTTGATCCTCATGCCAGCATGCAGGCAGGCAGAGCCTGTACGCAGCAGCAGTTGGACTTCGGCAGTGTGGAGTCCCACATGGACTGTCCTCCCTCTTCCTTAGGATGTGCTTGTTGGTGTAAAGCTTGCCTGAATTGCTTGTGCCCCACTGAGTCTCCAGTGATATCCTGGGGCAGTTCTCCTCAGGCTTTAGCTGTGGGTACTTGTAAACGTGCCAGTTTTCACCTGGGGTCCTGGAGCGCAGTGCCATAACTCTCATCACCTCTTCAAAGGCTTTATTTTTATTTTTATTTTTATTTTTATTTCTCTTGGTGCTCTTCTTTGAACTCCTTCTGTTCAACAACAGAACAGTTGTAACAACTCGCTGCACCCCTGTTCACCCTCACCTTCCTAGATCTCCAGACTTGCTTTTCCCACAGCCTTTCCTGCTCTTCTTTTCTCTGTGCAGAATGCTGCTGAGGATTTTTCCTGCAGCAGCAGTTTTGACCCTGCTGCAAGAACCCATTTCTCAAAAGTTTCAGAGCTTCTTTCCTGTTGGGTGGCTTCCTTCCTTCTCATTAGGCTGCTGCTTTTTTGAAGTAAGGGATAAAGTACCCAGGAGTGAAGTCATCCTGGAAAGCCAGGCTTCCAGGGGGTTCGGGCTCCAGCTGTCACTGTCGAGCGGCCTTGAGAGAGTAGTGTGTCTCCTTCCATTTCTCTCCCTTTGTCTGAACAGCTGCTCTCTCCAGCTTTCAAGTTCTTTATTGTCTTCCCCTCTCTAGTCTTGCTCTCTCTCCCAGCAGTCAGGAGCCTGGAGAAGTTTGTCCTTCTCCAAAGTCCTTGCCCTTGTGGGACTTCACCCACTCTCCCAAGACCAAAATTGCCCCGACCCTTGTGTAGCAAAGTGGGCGTTCAGCCCCTTAAGTGCTCCTACAAAGCTCTTCCCGATGGTGTCTTGTCTCTATAGTTACTCTGTTGTCAAGGCTGTGGGAGTTGGTTTTTTTTTAACCAGATCTGTGCCTCAGCCTGATTTTTTTTCTTTTTTTCTTTTTACTTTTTTTTCCCTTTTAACGTCAGGGAGGCATATGTGATCACTGTGCTTTTATGCTTGGGTGTGTCTGCGTCTGCATCCTCTCTTCTTCCCTCCTTTCCCACCCTTCCTCCTAGCAGCTTTTGAACCTGCTGCCAGCCCACAATCAGATTTGGCAGAGGGACAGGGATCTCGGGGATATTGCGTTTTTCTAAGCTTCATGAGCACACCCAGCCCTGTTGGGAAGAGAAGGTCTTTTAGTGCCCCTCTTGAGGAAGAATGAAAAAAGCCTGCATGGATCTGTGCAGAAACAAATCCCTGGGACAGCGTCCCTCTTAATTCTCTTCTCACCAAATTGTTGTATTTATTCTCCCCTCCTCTCCCCCACAGGGACGATGCGGGCTGTCCGCAGGCACGTCTTCCCAGGGGACTCAGCTGCTGGGCAGGGCATCGTCTGGGAGTGGCAGAATGACGAGGGCGGGTGGTCCCCGTACGAGATGAACGTCTGCGTGTTCCTGGAGCAGGCCCGTGCCACCAACCACCAGCGAGTGGATCTTGGGCCCTTGGGCTACAACTATGAGATTGACTTTGTGGCTCAAGTTCAGACCAACAAGACCACGAGGTTCCGCCGCAGCGTTCAGAGGCGTTTGGATGCCCCGTACCCGGTGACGACCTCCGCCACACCCCTTCACACAGGGGTGGGATGTTCTTGCCAGCAGTGCTGGCCAAACAGCGGGACTGGTCCCATCACCACACGCTACCGTCACTCCATGACAAACTTTCCCAACTCTTCCACTACTCATCAGGCTCCTGGCAGGACTGTGTCAGTAAGTTCTTCCAACGTTGGCTACGTGCCCTATAACAAACCCACTTTGACTGGAGCAAGGTCAACACCAAGACTCAGTGCACAGAACCCCTTGGTTTTGGCTCAAACTGGGAGCCTCAGTGCAGCACTGACAGCATCTAATGGAGTCAGGTACAGATCCTAATTCACCTTTAAATACCATATGTGAGTCCAAGAGATCTGCTGTGCTCGGGTCTGCATTATCCAGGAGTCTCTCTGTCCCAGAAGATTTTACAAAGGCGTTCTCCCTAGGAGAAAGAAATTTGTGCCTGTGTATCCAGTACAGTGGATGAAAAGACTTCCCCTCTGCTTTCTACCTCTTTTTTTTTTTCCCATTTGAAATATAGTCCCTGTCTACCAGTCTCCCTGACCACAGGGCAATTCACTCAGGTTGAAATTCTGAAGGTTTGAGAAAATTAATAGTGAGCAGTGGTGTTTTGGGTTAGGTTAAAAAGCAGCTTGGAGAGAGACTCAGTGAAGGAAAAGGGGACTTTTAAACACACTATTTAATTCAAATTAGGCAGTAGAGTAGAGCACTGCTTTGAGTCCTAAGCTCTTCCCCTTCAAGGAGGGACCACAGAACTCATTGCATGTGGCTGAGACCTCATGAACTCTCTGTCAAAATCAGCTGTCCAGGCTATTTTTCAGGCTAAATGGTGACGAAGAGCAGAGGTACCACTGAATCCATTTTCACTTTGGCTCCTCTCTGACAGGGCTGGAACCAGTGGGCATCTCTCAGCCTGGGATTTCAGGTCCCATCAGCTAGAGCTGAAGGAGGGCTGTGTTTGCACCTTACTAGTGGGGGAGGAAGAGCTTCACTTCTCTTCAGGCATTTTGGTGGCTGCCAGCTCAGTGAAAAGCAGAAGATTGTGGTCTGACAGCCCGGCTCCTCTCCATGGCATGGGCTGCTGGAGCAAGCCCCAGTTGGTTGTTCCAGTTTCAGGATCTTAACTCTTCCTGTGCTCAAGCTCTTGCTGGCAGAGGTGTGTGTGGCCTGTCTGTAGCAGTGCTGGCACCAAGTGTGACCCAGCAAGGGCTGGCTGACTGGTCCCTCTGTTTGTGAATGGCTGGAAATGGCAGAGCCTTACACTCAACTTCACTGGGAATAATCCAGCTGTTGAACCCCGGAGAAGCTGCAGGGAAACTTGCCAGAGCTGATTTACCTGTCCAAGTAGGTAAGAGATAAGAGATCTAGCAGTGTTGGAAGCACATTCTGCTAATTGCACAAGGCACAGGGGTTTGAGGTTTGTTTTGAATCTCATTTGTGTTTTAAACAAGATGGTGAATCTTGAGATGTTTTTCTTAGTATTGTATCGGGACTTTCCCTCTTCAGGGTCATCTGAGTGAAATGACTTCTCACATCCTGTTCTTCTTTCTCACGGTCTTTTTTTTGGTGCTTTTTTTCCACCTGGTGATTTTTTGTGTTGCCTTAAGCATCCACAGTGCTTCTCTGTTCCAGTTACCGAGTAGGGCTGAAAATCAGACCTCAGCACTGCCTACAAGAGCCCCCAGTAAGGCTCTTGCTGTCTCCTGAAGAAGCTGCCAAATTCCTCTTCTCACAGGAGTTGCTGGTGGGTGCGTGGGGCCACTGGGCTGCTTGAAATCCCCATCCTTTCCCAAAGGATTTGCAAAGTGACTCAGGGTGGGGAGTTTGAAAAGGAAGAGCCAAATGCTGCAGCAGTTGTTCCATAAGCCTGTCTGGAGCCCATCAGGCTCTGGGTACCTTGTGTGCTGCCTGGTGGGGGGACAGGCTGTCCTGAAAGGAGGGGAGGATGGGTAAGAGATGCTTGGAGAGGGTTGCCACGGGCTTCTGACCAGGAACTGAGCCTATGGACCAGGCAATGCTCACTGGGAGGAGAGGGATGGTCGGGGAAAGCCAGGAGGTGCCCATGGCTGGTTGAGGTCAGGCTGTTTGAACCGGTTTTGCAGCTCAGCAGTTTGTGTTGTGGAGGGGGTGAGGTGGCTGGTGTCCTGGCAATCATCCCTAGCCAAGCCAGCCTTTCTGGGGGATGCAAAGGGATCGTACAGTTAAATCTATGCAGGTGACAGCAGAGCATGCCACACAGGGCAGGTGGCAGCTCTTTGGATACCTGGGAGTGTGTGAGTGCTGTGAGACTTGTGTAAAACCCACCCCCCAGTGAGCCCCACTCCCCTGGCCATTGCTGTCTGTTCCCTTGGGATGTGATCTCCAGTCCTTTGGGATTATTTGTGCTGGGGTCATTTCTTTATCCCTGCCAGAACAACAAATGCACACAGGGGGGCAATCTCTGCCTTCCAGCAGCGTGCCATATGTGAAGGGACTTTTTCATCCCTAGCTGACAGCTCAGAATGGCTTTTCCCCATCAGTCCTGTGCTGGGATTCAGAGCCACTGGGTGGGTGTAATTGCTCCTGGTTGGAGTTACAGTCTTGGACTCATGAAACCCATGTTCCAGCAGAAAATCCTTTAATTTCTGTGAATTAGGGGAAACCTGAGTAGCAAACTCTAACAATGTGTTTCATTTAATTCCTAAGCCCCAAGCATTCCTGGGTTATTTTATCCATTAGGTTCCCTGTCTCCCCCCATCGTACATAATATGGTGGTTAGTTCCCCTTCCCTTGCAGTCAATGCCCTGCATCACCCAACAGTCTAACCATTTTGGCTAATTATCTTGTATTAATTATCCTGCCACGGGTTTCTCTCTGTGTTCTCTTAGCTGTGATGTGCAATTCCTGTCCTGGCCCATGCTCAGAGACCCGAGGGAAGGAAGCACTGGGCCATGGTGAATCCTCTGGTGTCTGCTAAAGGTTGTGTTGTGTTCACCCTACAAGCTTTAGCTCCAAAGCAGCCCTGACAGATTACTTGCTTTTACAAAACCGCTGATCTCCACAAAACCTGCAGAGGTGGCTGAGCAGCAACTGGCAGAAGGGCTCAAAAACTCATTGGGAGAGACTGAAAGGCAGTGCAGTTGTTTACACCCAGTCTCTTTCGGAAACACAACTGAAAATGGCAGCAGCTCTCTCCTGCAGGGCTGAGAAGGAGGTGCAGTTCACCCTGGAGAGCTGCTTGACTCCCTGTGTGGCTGTAACAGTTATTTCTAGCTGGCAGGCAGGCAGGGGTAGCCCCCAGAACAGGCATGCCCGGGCTGCTGTGCCACTGAGGGTGATTAAATGTATTTCCTGCTTGCTGGAGGGCAGATGCTGGTGTGAGAGCAGGCAGAGCTCAGCACTGCCAAATACACTTTAATTTCCTCCTGCTCTCAAGAGGGTCAAAGCCACTGGAAAACCCAGAGAGGAGTGCCAAGGCTTAACTATATGCTAATATTCTTGGCTGTGCTGCTAATGAATGACATGCATGTGGGCAAGTTATTTTGCTGCTTTCTTCTTTGCTTCATTCCTATCGTGGATGAAACACAGTTAATGAATCTGGCCTCTCATGGACAGCACTGGAATCTGCACATGGAGTGTGCCATGGCAAGGGTTGTGTCCTTATCTCAGCACTGTTAACCAGGATCCCAGCCACCTCCTGGCAAATCCTTCCCACTCCACATGGGAAAGCATCAATTCCCTAGGGCAAGAGCTCCCCTGTTCCCTGCACTGTGCTGTCTAATTACAGAGTGAGGCACTCCTGAAGCACAGTAAGGAGTGCCCTACTTGTAATATGAGCAAGTAAAGCTGCAGGAAGCAATCTTCTGAGGGATATTAATTAGTGTCCCAGCCAGGCAAATCCCTACAGGAGCTCTGCGGGCTTCTCTGAGCTTATGTGGCTTTGGCTGCTGGTCTGTGTTGTGCCTAGAAATAAGGCAGCTCATGGGGGCAGGATTTTGTATAAAATCAGGGGGAACAGGGGTCTTGGCAGCTAGAAAAGGATGCTGACAGAACAGGGGTGTTCTTAAGAGAGCTCTGGACCCAAATTTCCTATGGGGAACAACACACAGTCAGTGCTTTGTAGGATCAAGGAGGACCCTAACCAGGGCCTTTCCTTTTTTCTCTCCACCTTTGTATCCTTCAGCTTTGTCCATAGGCATTCCCACAGGCTCCTTTGGGTGGTGAGGAGCTCTCCTGGTGCTGGTTCCACTGTGCCCGCTGTCACTTGTCCTGCAGCCCTTTTAGCCAGCGTGGTGCTACCACCAGGTGGAGTCATTAATGTCACCCGACAGTGAGCCCTGGGAAGGGGTTTGGACCTTAAGGTGTTGTGGTAGCACTTCGTGTGAAGCAGGGCTGGACACTGCCCTGATCTGTGAGGAGAAGTGTTGGCTGTTGTCCAGAGTTCTACAAAAATGCCATGATACAGAGATCTGTGGCCTGCTGGTTTTGGCCAGGGGAGAGGAAGGAAGAAAGGGCCGTATCAGGTGGAGAGGGTGAGTTCCTACAGGCTTCCCCAGTTCTGCTCTGTTGGGGTATTGTTCGTGTGTGGCTCAGGTGATGGCTCCAACCTGGCCATCCAGTGTTTGAAGTGGCAGCAGCCCTGGATTCCAAGCTGTTGACACAGTTCCTTGCTGGACCTGTGCTTTGCTGTCTCACTGGTGTTGCAGATTCTTGAAATTCTGGAGAAGCAAGTGGGTTTGTCATGCTGAAATCTCAGTCTGCCCTGTCTGCCTCCTGAAGCAGACTGCCTGGGAATCTGTGGTGGGAAATCTTACCAGGATCTTCTTGCTGAATCTCCAAGAACATTGTCTTATTTTGCATCATTTTATTCACAATCTAGTGATCCCAGTTACACTCAGGAGCGTCCAGCACACAGAGCAGTGGGAGAGCAGGAGCTGTGGCAAACAGCAAGACAAAATAGGACCAGGAAGGAGGAACTGATACCAGGACAAATTCAGAGAATTCAGGCGTTGGCTTTCAGGTATTGCAAGCACCTGTGAGAGCACTTGGCCAGGAGTCAAAGGCACTGCCTGGTAAGAAATCTTCATGGGTAACAGGAGCAGGTGTCTTGGCAGATCCTTCTCATCTCTCCACACTGCAGTGCTTGCTCTTGCGCTGTTGCTGCCCAGATCTCCCTCATCCAAAACATCATTTTTTCTCCTAACTGAGCTGTTTTCAATAAATGAGCAGGACCTCTTCCCAGAAGCCAGCACTGGTATGGCAGTGCTGGAATATGTTGAGCTTGTGCTGTTCCATTATTGGATGCACAATCCACGTTACACTACAATAACAATATCCTTCCTTGCTCCCTCATCCCCTTCCTCCCCCCAAACCCCCACTTCAGACCCAGGGTAGGCTCTGAGTAACATTGCCTCACCTTTCTTGGCACAGCAGTACTTCCTCCCACACACTGTGGCTGCAGACCTGCCTGGGCAGTGTTGTGGTACCTCAGAGCAGTGTGGATTTCCCTTGATTTCATCAGCCTTTGGGCTTTCTGCAGTTGTAACAGAGCTCAGGGAGTGTGGCAGCCCGGCTCCCACGGTGCAGAGTGGATGGGTCAGCACGTCCCACAGCACTGTTAGCTGAGAGCTGCTAATGAATGTGTGTATTTAGTGAAATAAGAAGTATTTGGTTTCTCCATCATCACATCAGTTGGCTCAAAGCCTCCAGCAGCCAAAGCTGAAACATTTTGCCTTTAAACCAGGAGTGCAGCTGATCAGTGACTGTTTCCTGGCTCATGGATGGTAATTTATCTGCAGTGCACTCACAGCTTCCCAAACTTGATTGCTTGCAAATGCATCAAGTGTTATCTGTTTCCCTCTGCAGATCTCAAGGGCTCTTCTCACTTCTGTTGTGGTTTAACCCAGACAGTTAATCACCACACAGCCCCTCAACTCACTCCATCCTCCCCCAGGGGAATGGAGGAGAGAATTGGAAGAAAAAAAAGTAAAAATTGTGGGTTAAAATAAAGACAGTTTAACAGGACAGAGAAGGGAAGTAATAATGCTGATGATAATTAAAATGTACAAAACAAGTGATGCACTAAGCAATTGCTCATACCCACTGACCAATGCCCAGCCATTGCCAAGCAGCAGCCCCCAGTCGCTTTCTCCCCTGGTTTCGCTACTGATTATGGCATCCTGTGTTCTGGAATATTCCTTGGGTCACTTGGGGTCAGCTGTCCCAGCTGTGTCCCCTCCCAGCTTCTTGTGCCCCCCAGCCTCTTCTCACTGCTGGGGTGGGGTGAGGAGCAGAAGAGGCCTCACTTAGTGTAAACACTGCTCAGCAACAACTAGAACATCTCTGTGTTACCAGCATTATTCTCATCCTAAATCCGAAACACAGCACTGTACCAGCTACCAGGAAGGAAATTAACTCCATCCCAGCTGAAACCGGGACAACTTCATACAAGCTCCAACTCATGGATGACTTGGATTTGAGTCTCACAATTAGGAGAGTGAAGGATTTCTCTGCCATCTTTTCAGAGCATGGTTACCAGTGATCCCCTTCTCAGGGCAGCTCTGGGTTTGCTTTCTCCAGCCTCAGGTGCAATGACCCTGTGCTCCAGCCTGTTGGAAGGATTCTCTGCCCCCACCTGTTTTCTTGGCACCCCAGAAGGTTCAGCTTTGTGCTCTGTTTTATTTTAACCTTCCATGGAGAAGTGATAACACCCAAGATGCTGCTTCATCTCAGGGTATGACAGCAAAACACAAACAGTTCTGTATCAATGACAGGCTGGGGTGGAGAGGGTGCCTAGGCTCAGTGGTGTCTTCTTGGCTTCTTAGGAGGAAATGAGGGAAGGTCCAATGTCTCTGATTTTTTGGGAGCAGTTCTCTCAAGTTCCTGGTCCTCAACTATCCTTCATGTCTGCAGATGGAGAACAAGGAGTCCTGCTCCTTGCCATCTTCTGAAGAGGAACATAAGGCCAGAAGTGAAGCAAAAGGATGAGATAAAGAAGTGGAGAAATACCTGAGAAAGAGCTGTGACGAAGAGGGTGAATCAGTAAAGAAATAGAGTCATAAAGACATCTGATTTAGAGCTCTTTGAAATCACGGGCAAGATTTCCCCTGTGTTTGGTGGGTTTGAATTGTAGCCAGAATGGTCTGTTGCATCATTTGAAGGCATTGCAAAATTTGGGGCAGCAGAAGGGAAAGCACAGCCTTTGAAAGAGGCAGGAGGGAAACCTCTGTGATCTGGAGAGCTTTATAAGGGTCTGGGGGGTGCTGGTCTCACTTGGCCAGGCTGCCAGAGCTGCACCAAGCCCTCTGTCCTGCCCAGGGTTCTTCAGAGAGTGCAACACACGTGTGGGAACTTATTCCAAACTGTGACAGGTAGGAGAGGTGGGGTGGCAAACAGCCATGTGTCACTCAAAAATTTTTTCAGCCCTGGTGATTGTCATGGAAATGGAACAAATATTTTAGCAAGACTTAAAGGAGAGACCTCTGTGGTACCTTTTTGAGCAGGGCAGCTCTTGCATCCCAGCTGGACAGAACAAGGTTTCCCCTAAATAGTGGGTGAGATCTGGGCTCTTGACCTCCTTAGTCTCTGAATTCCTAAGCAGCTGGCCAGGTTTGTGTAATTTTGGGGAATCCTTGGAGATTGTTGTTTGAATGTATTAACTGCTGCTGGGATGCATGAGCCTCATCCATCACAGGCATGTGGGCCACCTGAGACAAAGTCCATGGGTAGCTTCTCAGTGCCAGCATTTGGATTTCAAGTGTTCCTGCTCTGCTAATGTGGATCCAGCTTCCTTTCTTCTCTAGTGACCCCCCCATCAATGTTGATGCTGCTGCTCCCCTTTCCTCCCTAACTCCTGCTGCCAGCTAATGGTATAACCTTGGCTTCCCATGTATCCCAAAACTGAAATACAGCTGCCAGCACTGCCAAAACAAGTAGGTGAGGAACCTGAAAGGCGTGTTTGGTGTCCAAATTCTCTTGATTTCCAGATGAAAATGGGGGCCAAGCTCTTCCAGGTCTCTTTCAGCCTTTCCTCCCTCATCCCCACATCCCCCTTGGATGTGTAGTGCAGGTTGGCTGCTTGCAGGAAGCTCTGTGGGGGACTGGCAAGAGCAGGGATGTATCACCAGATCAGAGCAGGGTCCAGCAGGAGGAATGGATGAGTTAGGAGAAGATGGGGCTGGAAGCAGCTACATACAGCATAGCTCTAAGGACTTCGCAGGTAAGTAAATCTAGGAGAGAGCTCTGGCAAGTACAGCTGCTGGCCCAATGGGAGAAGGGTGCCTGGGTGAGGGTCCCAGCTGGGGCTCATCTGAGCAAATAATCCCTGTTAATATATCCAGGGCCCTGGGCTTCACAGGGAGCAGTGCATTACTGAATGTCTCTGATCCTTGCTGTCTATTTTTTTTTTCTCTCCAGTACCCAGGCCCTGCCTGTCAAGATGCCCAAACCCAGCAGGGTGAGCCAGGCCCTGGCAGGTAAGAGCTCCCCTGTGCTTTATTTGCTCAATTCTTAGGATTAGGTGAATGAGAGGCTGTCTTTCTTGTAGCACACGCTTTCCATTTTTGATTTTTGGTAAGAGTTAGAATTGTTGCTGGTGTTTCAGATCCAAAGACTTTTCAGAAAAGCAAAGAGGGCAGATTTGGGGGAGAATGGGATGGACAAACCTTATTAACTGTTTTTCTCATCCTGAGTCTTTCAAAATAAGTGGGATTATTTGAGGCATGGCTATTTATCTTCTTCTGTACATGTGGATGAGCAAGTAGCAAAGGAAAGGGCATGTGAATCAAGCTCAGTGCTAGCTGCTATTTTCTGCTTTTTTGAAAGTCAAAGGAGAGGAGTGGTGTGAGATTTTTGTGTGGTTTTTAATATGATTTTTTACAATGTGGTTTTAATAAAAAAGCCCAGGTGGTCTTTAGCTTAAAGAGGGTTGTGATGCCTTGTCTTGGGAAAGGGGAGACAGAAGTTGAATCAGACATTGTCTCCCGGTGCAGCAGAACATGGGTTTGCTTGTTATCCAAACCTGTGAACACAATGCTAAATATACTGAGGAGTATGTCTGGGAGGGATGAAAGTACCAGCTTTCAATTCTCTTTTCAGAGTAGATTTGCCTGTTAAAGTTGAAATGGCATTGCCTTGAAAATGACAGTTTGTGCTGTCCACCTCCCGTGGAGGTGTTGCTGTGCCAAAAGCCAGTGGCACCTTTGCTGTCTTTTGGCCCAGCCAGTACCAAACCAATGACCCTGGTGTGGTGCTACTGGGGGATTTGGGTGTTCTGCCCAGAGCAGAGATCTCTGTACTGGTACCAGCTGTGCTCTCAAACTATCATTACCTGGTAGAGGAGTGCTAAACATCTGGTATTTTCTGGAGTTTTCTCTGTTGTAAACACTACAGAATGTCTGTTAACCCTCTCCTTCCTCTGTGTCTTGTCCATGCATGGTCTCTTGAGGTTATTAGCTCCTGGGACACCAAACTTATCTCCTGAGTGAGCAGAGACAGTTACATTCTTGTTTTCAAGACGGTGGTTCCCACCTTATTCCAGAAAAAGGTGTTTGGTCTCTTCTTGAGTGCCAGGTTTTACCCTGGCTGAAAAGGGTCCCCAGGATTGATGTTTCCCTTCATCTAATGTTGTTACCATCATGAAAACTGCCTTGCACATGTCTGTAGCCAAACTGGCACTGCATGAAGACTAACACAGGTGTCCTCTGACAGCATGCAGCCCATCTGTCTCCTCCTTAGCAAATCACTGTGGAAACAAGATGTAAAGTCAAGCTCAGGCCTTGTCAAGGTGGGTTACCTGTGCAGAACTCCCCTTGCTTATAACAGCTCTGCCTTTCATGTCCTGGCTGTTAGCACTGACTATGGAATTAGGTACTTCATTACATAAAGGTAAATAAAGCACAGAGCTGAAGAGCCCTGATGAATCCATGCTGTGTTAATGTTATCTGTGATTCTCAGTGTAAGGAGGTGAATATGTGCAGTCAGTTTATGCCTTGTGGTGCCATGTTTAGATAGAAAAGGCTGTAGAAAATCCCAATAGAATAAGCCATTTGCCACCACTTAATACAATAAAATGGTTAAATTTGTAATTGATACCTCTGTTGTTGCAGTCTGGGGGTGTAAAAGAAGAGATAATTACTCATTTTAATACTCTTCACCTCTCCCTGAGGCAGCCAGCTTAAGGCACATGGGGATGTAGGGAAGGGCAGAAGCAGCTCCATGGGGCCAGGGTCTCCTTCAGATGCAGGTCTTCACACAACACAGCTTTGGGTGCTGTGCTGCCTTCTGCCAAGTGTCTCACACCTCAGAGGTGCAAGGGAGGAGGGAAATCTGAATTTGAGTCCTCAAAGTCACATAAAAGCAGAGAAAAGATTAATGCAAGTTAATTAGAGAGCTGAAGGAAAATAAATCTCTAGGGATATTTCTGATGAAAAGCAAGCAATGGAGTTCTGGTAAAAAGGAAAAGTTTTGCTGAAATATTAATTGGCTGGGTCTTTAGGAGGCACCTTCTTCCCCTCTATGTTCTGCTCTCTGTTTTTAGAACCTCTTCTGGGAAGTGGTATTTAGTTCATAATTAAAATCCTGCTGATGGTATGCAAGTTACTCATGACTCAGGTTGTTCTCTAACATAGGCTGTGCTCCTTTTGTTCCTCCAGTCCCCACTGCATGACTGCTTCCTACAACATCAGTGGAGAAGGCTGGGGGGACAATGTTGTGAGGGAGAGAGAAGTCTCAGATGTAAGTGAAGGAGGCTTTATTTTGGGAAATATGTCTTGGTATCCACCCCCTGGCATCTCAGCAGCTTTGGCTCTGGTTTGAAGCTGGACAGATGCAACCTCTGAATCTCATGGCTGATATTGAGAAATGCTGCAGGTGCATCTCTTGGATGCAGAGAGAACTTCAGGTGGCCAAACAGGAGATGAGGAATCCTGTGAGTCTGAATTGGAAGCTGGGTTTTGTTTGTGTGATGGGTGCTTGGGGATTTGAGCGAGGGATTTGTAACACTGTCTATCCCACATCCTCTGAAAGCACCTCTTGGGATCCCAGAAATCATGAAGCTGATTTTTAAAACCATATTTTGTGCAAAAAAAAAATTACAATTTTCCCCTTGCTTTCTGCTATTTTAATACTTCAAAGTGCATGTGGAAACTTGTCTTTTAAGCTTTTTCCCTTAAGTATTTGATCAGTACAGTGAAATGCCAAACAGGTCTAAGCAAACTGTTTAACCACAGTGTTGGTGTTTAAGGATCAGCTGGACTGACATTTCCTGGGAATAATGGAATTTAGCTGGTGTGCCTTGGGGCTGAGGGGTGGCAAGGTGCTCATATAAAAGCCCTTCTAATACTATGTTTAAGATGAAGTCTGAAAAGGAGCTTTTTGTTAAATAAAACTGGCTGTTTCTTGTTTGCATGATTCCTGGAGCTGGGGCATTTGGGGATGTACTAACCATACTGATTTTGCTGGTGGATATGATTATACAAATTAGCAATGCTTTTCTGAGATCTCACATTATCTGAAGGTAAGCTCTGCCCTGTACCAGTCTGAGGCCTGTGCAAATCCAGGTCAGTGACCAGAGGGGTGTGTCAGGCTGGGTGTGAGTGACTTTGTGGCCAACAGTCATTACATAATGTCAGGGTGTTTTTCCTGTGCCCAGCTTCTGCACAGGATATTACAAAAAAAAAAAGTATTTACACAGCAGGCTGAAAAAAGTTGGTGGATGTTGTCATAGCTCCAGTGAAAATAATTTTACCCCAAGGAACCACTAATGTATCTCTGGCCAAGTAAGAGGCTTTGAGCAAGAGAAAAAAAGCAGTTCTGCATGTAGTTATTGCACACACAGAATCAGATCAGATCCCAAAGGATTCTTTGCAAGGCTTTCTGTCTCCCTCCTGCAGTCCTTGAGCCCAATGGAAAGTGTGAACATATAAAATAATAATTTTCAAGCTCCTGGACTAGCTAGTGTGCAGCAGGACATGTCCAAAGCAGTCTTGGTCTGGGCAAACTTGTCATGTTGCAACTTGTATTCAGATGAGAATTTATCCAGGTCCAGCTACACTTGCTCCTGGCAAGACTCCACAGATACTTGGAGCAGGTTCTGACTTGAAATTGTACCTGCATCAACTGTGAGAATTGGAGACTCAATCTGCAGATGTGATGTGTGTCTGTATTGTTTTGGCACCTTGTAGGAAAACACACTCCCACCTAAGGCCTGGGTCAAGGATGTCCCTTCCTGGGGACTTCAGTCGCCAAACTTGTGGGAGGATTGTTAACGCTGAGATTTCCAGTATTTTATTTTTACTTTAATAGCAGCATTGCTACTGGGGGTTGACGTGAGGCAGCAGAGCAGTGTAACACTAGAACTTTTTTGAATGCTCTCTTGACTTGAATCTGCAGAAGATGATTCATTGCATGTAGCTCCTAAGGCAGCAGAAGGTTAAAATTGGCTAAGAAAAGGTAATTTCCCACTTAAACATTTTCTTGACCAGTTTAAGATAGGAGAACATTGAGCTGGGGTAATTCTTCTGGTCCCACATTTGCCCTGTGCTTGTATGTCTGTGTGGAGTTGTAGATGGGTATGCAGTTCAAAAAAACCCAAAGTCTGTGAAACAAATGGTGGGGTTTTGATTGTTTTGTTGTTGTTTTGTGGTGATTCATGATGCTGGCAGGCAGTTTTGGACATGTTATTCCAGGTACAAGGGAGCTGTGTTATAGAATAGCTGACCTCACCTGAGGGTCTGTGGCTCCTGCTTTTTGCTTGGTGTGAATTTTGTTGCCCTCTGCCATTGAGAGTCTGAAGCCAGTTGTTCAGCCTGTGCTTCTGCTTTCTCTTTTTTTTCTGGGCTCTGCCTGCTAATGTTAGCAAGACAGTATTGATCTCTTCAGAAGAACACATTAATTTTGCATTTGCCTATCAGACAGCTGTGCGTGGGTGGTGATAATCCCTGTTAGTCTTTGGACTCACTTTTCAAATGTCAGTCTGTGCCATCATTGCTATTGCACTGCTTAGAAACAGCTTTTTTAGAGACAACTTTCCTGTTCCTTTTCTGCACCAGTTCTAGGAATAGTATTATGCAGCCTCGGTGGGGTCAGACTGAGATGATTTCCCCAGCTGTGGTGGGAGATCTTCCCTGTCTCTCAGGAATGTTGTTCCTCCAGCCTCTCTAGTCAGTGTTGCTGCTGCTTTTCTTGGAAAGCTCCCTGGGAGTAGTGGACTTCTGGCTTTGATGAGCTGGGAGCTTGCAATAGGCTTGTGGCCTTTATTTAGGACTTAAATGGAGTTATTTTGGTGGTGAAATTTCTAGATCTGGTGAGCTCTCCTTGGTTGTGCCTGTTGCTTCCAGTAGGGCAAGGGGTACTAACCCAGTCTTTGTATGCTTTGGAGGTTCTCCTCTGGCTCTGCACTCCTGGGAACTGGGAGAGCTGTAGATCTCAGATCTAGATCCCTTTTGAGGGTGATCCATTGCTGCCTGGTTACCTATTTCCATTTGGAAGTTCATTTCACCATCCATTGGGAAGCCTGTTCTTGTGGTTAGCCCAGCTCTTCTGAAAGTTCTTGGGTAACCCTGGGGAAACTCCTTCCTCTGTCCCACTCCCTCTCTGGTGAAACCACTTCTTGTGTGTCTTTTGGCCCTTAGATGGGAAAGTTTTAGTAAAAACATTCAACTTTGGCTGTCAAGAAAGGAGTTGAACAGCTTCTGGAATATTTGTGCTCAGACCTTAGGAAGAGGAGGTACAAACTGGTCAGCACTGTGTAGGAGTAGTTCTGCTTGTGGGGCACTGACACAGGCATTGCACAGGGGATTTGTAGTCACAGGACACATGCTGTAGACTGGTTGCATATTTGAGGCAGAAAATAGTTTTACCATTTGTACACAAAGCTGATGCTTCCCATCATAACTCGTTTTTTCAGTCATGTGTGGGCAAGGTGCCTCATTTTTGTCCTGAACAAATGTGCTCTAGGATCTTCCTTTCTCCATATGACTGAATAGAGGCTTGGAAATCTCAGCTTTGGCCATGCATAACTGAGCAGGAATGTCTGTAGCATTAGGATGTGGTTTGCATGGTCTGCCCTCAGAGGGGATTTCTGGGGAAATGCTGGCTTTTAGCTTTTCTGCTGTTGGTTTGCAGCTGTAAGCATTTTTTCTTATTTCTGGGGCTGACTGTTGCAGGTGGGAAGTTGCTCTTGGGAAAGTAAAAGCAGGTGTTCTCTTGCATGTAAGTGTGAGAGCAGTATGATACTTTGGAAATGTTATGATTTGTACCCAGCCTGGATTTCACAGGCAAACATCATCTTGGATCAGCATGATCAGTCCTGTAGCTTCTTTGTGCCGATTTTACCTTCAGGGAATGGCTGTCCTTTTTAATGATTCATTAGTTTTATCAAACTGCATCCCATAGATCCAGCTGGCTGGGACTGGGGAGGATGAGCATTGCATTGCTGCTGGGAGTGAGGGAAAAGCAGAGCACCAGGGAGGAGAGGGCGTGGGGTGAGTGGGGGGCTGTGTGGGGCAGCTCTGCCCTGGTGTTTGAAGGCAGCTCAGCTGCACTCTGGGGATTGGTTCAGTGTGACACTGTTGAAAAGAGTGGTTTTAGGGGGAAGCAGCTGAGCAGGACCTTTAGGGGTTATGGCTGATGCCTTTCATCCTTCAGGACTGCTCCCAAAGCTCTGGTCAGCAGGAGAACTCTGCACCACAGCAGACTCAGTGCCTGAGGAGCCCTGAAGCCCAAAGAGGGAGATCCTCTTTCCACACCAGCACAGAGGGTCACAGACATGACATGTGCCCACACTTCCCTCCTTTAATTTGCTGCCTGGGCTCCTCCCTCTGACAACTTCCAGATCCTCTACCTCGAACCCTGTTACTTCCTGGGCATTTTATGCCCTCAGAACTAAGGGCTTGGGTTTTATTTCACTTTCTTTTATTTTTATTTTCTTTGAAAGGTTGAAGGTTTTTTTTTAATGAATGTGTTTCCCCATTGTTTCCTTCCTGCATGTTGACCTCGTACCCACTGTAGGCATGACAGCTATTCTGATGTCAGCCGCCGGACTGCCCGTGCACCTCACCCGTGTGCCGCAAGCTGCCAGCACCCATAAGGCCACTAAAAAACACAGCTCAGTTAAGGAGGGGAGGAAAGTGTCCAAGAAAGGTAGTTCCTGCTCAAACTCTGATATTTGCTTCCATCTCCTTCTCTTTATCTCTCTGCCCTCCTCTTTCCCTGTTGTCTCTCCCCCCCACCCTCGTGGCTCTTCTGGTTTGACTGTCGATGTTCATCCCAGCGAGGGGAGAAGCAGGACGTGTCTCCCCTGACCTGCAGCATCTCTGACAGGCTCTAAAATGGTAAAGTAGGTGTGGTCCTGTGGTAGATCAGCTTGTTTCCACACAAAATTAAAGCTGGAACAGATCTATTCTCTGCATGTCAGACTCCACCAGCCTCCCCTGTGATCCTTCTACACCCTCTTGGGGAGTGTCCACATTCCAGGACCTTCTGAGTTGTTGGTGGGATGAGTCTGAGAGCTGAGAGACCATTAAGAAGAACATCAAATCCATATGTGCTCTGCAGAGATTTGCTTGTGAGCCATGCTTGTCGTGATTGAGTCATGGGATGACAAGAATCTCCCAGACAAGCAGGCTCCTGAGTCATGTAGGGCTTTCTAGGTCAAATTGCAGAGGATTTGTTCTCTCCACCTCACTCTGGGGTGGAACGAGTGGAGTGGAGAGTCCACCACTCTCAGGTGGACGTGCACTTGCAGGAAGGGATGGATTACCTCAGCTCTCTTGCTGAGCAGAGCCCCCTCCAGGGTAGGGCTTTTGTTTCTCCTCTTCATAGCTGACTGGTACCTCTCACCTTCACAGAGCCTGTGGCTCCCAGCTGAGAGCCTGGATCCCATCCATGTGTAGCAGCCCTGGGACTCTGCAGGGGTAGGTGTGAATCCAGCACGGTGTAGCTGTGGAGGTTGTTTGCCAACCCTGGCACAGGGGTGTCTACCACCACCAAACCTACAGCATGTCCCCCTTTGGATAAGCCAAGTGGGGAGAGTGGAGACTCTCAACACAGAGATCTCTACATTTAAGAAAGGGAAGAGCCTAAAGGTGGGGAGGAAGAGGCACCTGCCTGTCTAGGGAGTTTTTTTGTACCTTTTTCTCTCTTTGGAGTCCATGAGGTCCAAAGCTGTCTGAAGAAGGCAGGAAGGAAAATAGAAATTAAATGAGGAGGGAGGTATTTTATGGAAATGCATTATGGAGAGAGCTGTGAGAAGGAGTGAGAGAGCAAATGTGGAGTAGGATGTGTGATCGAGGGGGAGGAGAAAGCAGGGGCGGCAGGAGAAGCAGCAAAGAACAGGAGGAGCAAAGGAAAATGGAGGTGAAGAAGAGCTGAGCAGAGGTGGGTGGCAGAGAGGCTGGATGAGGATCCTGCTCCTGGAGCCAGCTGGCAGTGTGGTGCGGTTGTGTGGCTCCTGGTGCTTCACTCCTGGCACAGGCAGCAAACAAGGGCAGGAATGAGGGCTGGGTGGTGGGGATGCCCTGGAAACAGTGCCAGAAGGGAGCTGTGGTGTGGCCAGGCCCTCCTACAGAGCCACTGGCTTGCCGTGCTTGCTGGAGGAGCCCAAAACAAGGGCCAGGCCTGCACTGATGTTGGTCACCTGCTGCCGCTTAGTACATGGAACAGCATTAAGCTTAGTGACATGGAACAGCTGTTACTTAGGTCACAGGCTGGCCACAGACACAGCCTGGCTGGCTCTGCCTTCTCCTCTGTAGGGTCTGTTGGTCCAGGTGCTGCTCTGCTCTCAGCATCCAGCCCTCCCTGGCACCGTGCAAACAGCCAGGATGCTGCAAGGGTGGGATGTTAACAGGAGAATGTGTCTTGTGACTTCTGAGCGGGGTGGGGAGAGCAGCAGTGCAGGGCATGGAAAGGGGAGTGGGAAGGATGGGACACGGGATGGGAGGTGAGAGCGGCACACACCGCATTGGGTGTTCCTGTGGCTGTAGCTGTGCACTCCATCAGCATCACTTCTTGCAGCTCCTCAGCGCTGGCTCAGCCCCAGGGCACGCTGTCACCTCCCTGCCAGCTCTGCAATGCCACCTGCTGGGGCTGGGCTGCTCCGGAGGAGCAGAGAGGCAACACAGCAGGAGGGATGGAATGGGAAAGAGACATCAGGCATCTCCTTCTCCCATCCAGCGTGACAGGATTTGTCCCAGCTCTCCCCATCCTGCCCATGATATGCTGCAGAGCAGACTTGCAGGTCAGCCCTTTCCCACACTGACCCATGAGAAGGGGAAACTTCGTGTGGTTTACATTGTTAAAATTTCCCCTCTTATTTTTAAAAGCAGGATTCTTGCTGGGATACCAGTCCTGTGGAGTGCCTCACTCCTGGGATGCAGAATGTGTTGTGTTCAGTTCCTTCTAGGAGCAAGCTGTGTTTGCACAACACCCCTCAGGGCTTAAGAACATTGTTCTGCAGTGCAGGTACTGAGCCTGACTTTTGGCCAGACTGTTCTCCTTCCCTTCACAGACCCTGATGCTGCCAACAGACAGAGATGGGCTCGTTTTGTGCCCTGCACTTCTGCACCACGTGTTCTTTACCCCATCCCTTTAGGATTTTCCATCATGAAGAGCTCTGCATCCAGGACTAGATGCAGCATTTCACTGAGCACAACCAGCTGGTGGTGGATGCAGTGTGCCCCTTCTGAGCCCCTTCTCCCTCCCTCCTGCTGCTGCCAACCCTGGTCCCACACGGGGTGAGGCAGTGCTGGTGGAATTACGGCTGGCTCTGTGAATAGCTGGGGTGTGTTAAATAGATGCACTAATTAGTCAGAACTCATTAGCATTGTTGCTGCTCTGGCAGGGATGTCTCTGGCACAGCCAGGTGCTGCAGGGCTTGGGGAAGCCGTAGTCTCTGTGCTCTCCATGCTGGCACAGGGCCTGGCAGCCTCTGCCATCCCCATGGATTGGTGCTGCCTCGGGATGCTGCAGCCACTGTCCCAGCATCGCTGGCTGGGACCTGACTGCTCTCTGGGAGGCAGGAGGGAAAGTGGCTTGTCATGCTGTCTTAGTTTAGGGCATGCTCTCCCCAAGTGCTGCTTGTGCGTAGAGCTGGCCACCACAGGGCTCCCCAGCCTTTCCAAGGAGCTCCAGGGACTGCTTGGGTCTGCTGTGTCAGGAGGTTTCCCTGCACATCCATCCTCTCTGGGATGAGCACTCACTGCAGGCGCTGCTGTGAGGAAGGAGAGGAGCACACTCATCCTTCCTTGCCATGCACCTGCAGCTGGATGTACAGACTGTGCCAGTGCCTATGGGATGGGTGGGACTGGGGAGCCCCTCAGGGTTGGGAGATCTTGTTGTTCCTGTGGGGAAACATATGCTGAAGGAGACAGGCTGCAGAAACAGGGATGCTCTGACCAGAGCAGCCTGGTCACTGGATTATCCTGCTGAAATGCTGAATATGGAGAAATCTATAGATTTGCAAGTCTAGGGAGCAGAGGTGATGGGAGCTGTGTGACTGTCCATGACAATAACTAGGAACAACCAGTGTCTGGCCTGCAGAGGGTATCAAAAAAAGTCTGCTGGAAACCATATGGCTCTTTCTGGGCTACAGAAGGAGACATTACTGGTGCAAGCATTTGGTTGCCGTGGAAGGATTCAAAACACATCTGTTAAATGTTGCCCATGGAAAGCCCTTGCTGCAGCAGCAGCTTATTATCTACAGGGAGGAAGGGGAAGCATTAAAAACAATTTGATACTCCTCTCTTTGTAAATGAAAGAATAGTAAACATTGTTTGGCATCCTGGATAAATCTGTAGCACAGCGCTGGGCCAGCTGGTGATAAACAGCGCCGGTCGATTCTTCCAGTCCATTTTCAATCCACTATTGAATCCAGAAAACTGGGGGTTAAGCAGGCTTTGATGATCCCAGGGGATGGCTAGAACAAAGATTTGGAGGCAAACACTTTTATGGAGTAAACAGCCCTGTAAGGAAGTGATTCACGTGCTGGAGCATACGTGGCTCGTGCCATGGTCCCAGCTGCCTCCTGGGTCCCCCTGTGCTGCTGGGTTGTGACCAGCCAGATGTGCTGGTCTGCCCAAGGAAGGCCATGTGAGCTTTGTTGCCCTTGTTGAAAAAGAGCTCTCAGCATCAAAAGGCTTCTTTGGGACTTGGCTTTAAAATCCTTGCAGCTGGGGATGGATTTTTCTAAAGTTTCAGGGCTGCCTGGCCCTTTCTCTCTCCAGGCAGCTTTGGTGCTCTAAATTCATTAGAGCATTGTCAGAGCAGAGTGACAGGGACAGAGTGCAGATGGCACCGTGCAAATCCATGAGGCATGGGTTTCCTCAAGTTAGCTGAGGGCTGCATCACCTTCTGCCTCTTTGGTTCCCCAAGCTCCATCCTAATGCCAGCTGGTGAAGTAGTGTAATGCCCAAAATCCCAAGGACTTTCCTGTCTTGCTGTTACCCAGCTCTGCACCAGAATTTTTGTCTCCTTTCATTGAGTTAATTTGAATGAGCCTGGCCAGTTCTTGTGTGAGTTAGCTCTTTGTTCCTTGGAGCTGCTCCAGAGAAGAAAAGTCACAAGGGATTCTGTGGAAGGAGCATCCCCTACAACCCTGAATGAACTGAACTTCTCTAAAGCTGCTTGGATCTGCTGTGCAGGTGGGAGCAGGTGAGCTGGGGCTTTCTGCCAAGTGCTGGGCAGGTGTTGCTGCTGGTGTAACACACCCCCCCGCTCCCTTCCCTCGCTGTCTTCACCTTGGCTGTGCATCCTTTTGGCTTTGCTTCCTCCAGCCCAAAGCCAGAGGAGACAAGAAGGTCACTTCAGAAAGAGCCACCTGGAAAGTGCAGGTTGGGTAGAGAAGACTTGGTGGTCTGTCTGTCAGGCAGCACAGGGATGAGAACACAGTGATCATCATGGAGGAGGATGGAGTTAGGGGGATAGTAGCTAGTCCTGTTCACAGCATTCTTCTTAAAACCTGTGAAGCAGAAGAAGCTGAAGCCTCTATCTCCTGTAGGGCCATGAAGGTTTCCAGAGGCTGATTCCAGCTGCCACACGTGTGCCACCCTGTGTTTGCCAGCCTGGAGTACGGACCTCACACAACACTCGGCCAGAGGGTTTCAGGCACAGCGAGCTGGGACAGCTCAGACTGATCACATCCCCTTCAGACTCATTCCTAACTCCTGATCCCCTGCATGCAAGCAAAGTCCCAGCAGAGAATTCTTGCAACTGTTTCTGTTCTTAGGAAAAGAACACAAGGAGCTACATTCCCTGTGAGATCTGGTGTTGAGGCCTTGAAAAGCAGCTCCTGGCACTCCTGAGCCCTTGGCCTCAGAAGTGGAAGCCTGAGGCTTGCCCAGGCTCCTCCCTGTTTCCTGCTCTTGGGACAGTTCTTGGAAATGATTTTCTAGGGGATTTTGGCCCCTGAAGAGGAAAACACCTGCTTCTGTGTTGTTCTTTGGCTTAGTGCTTAATCCTGTTGCCACCTATCTGGCCTGGGATCTCCGGAGATTGATCCTCACAGCCCTGCTCTGCCTGACATGTCAGGCATCCCTCCTGCCGCGCTCTGGCGCTTGGAGTGAACATCCCTTCACCTCCTGGGCTCCTCTTCTTGCTCTGTGTGCTCAGCCACCCCTTCCTTCTGCTACTGCTGACAGAAATCATGGGTTTCAGGATGGCCAGGAATCCCCTTCTGAGAATAACTCATCTTAATGACTGTGTTTTCATTTAGCAGAGTCCAGCCTTCAGTTCCTCAGTCTTCTTAGCTAAAAGATGTTTGTGCTCTGCCTTTCTCTCTTCCATGGTGCTCTAGGGAATGAGGGACTTGTACCTGGTGGAGGATCTGTGCCATCCAGGCCTTTGCCTGTTCAGCACCACTTGTGTCTTGTGAGCAGTCCTTCCCTTCTGCTTCATTTTGTCTCTCCATGAAAAGTGGTTATCCAGAAAATAGCACCCCCTCCTTCCTGCTTGTACAGACATGGTTCTTTGGACTGGAATAGTAGCTGCACTGGCTGTCTCTTGATGTGCAGCTTTTTGAACCACAGAGCCAATCCTTATGAACCCTCTGTCTTCCCTGAAAGGCCCAGAGTGGATGGGGAGAGCTGAAGATGGGTCATGCAGGTATGGCTGCAGTTCTGATCTCTGGCTGATCCACATGATGATGCTCTGTCCTCCTGGGAGCGTGGAGTTGGGAGCAGCAGTTCTGTCCATGCTAAAGCATCCACCTGGACAGGAGGGAGATTGGAGAAGGAAGAGCTACACCTTGACCAACCTGTTTGTCACAGCACTGTTTTCTCCTGATGTCTCCCAGGAGGGTATTCAAGAAGAAAGGACGAGGTTCCCCCAAGCCAGGTGTCTGATCTATCTTTTGCCTCCTGCCAGGTGCAGTTGTAACATCACTTGTGCAAATGTTTCCTTTCCCAGGCTGGTGGAAAAGCCTGGCAGCTTCTGTGGCAGACCTGATGACTGCTAAGGAGCTCCTCTCATCTCACCCAGGGCCAGGTGCCTTGCAGAGGCATGGAGTTGCTTCCTGGCTTAAGCCAAGCCTTACTAGGCAGCTCCAGGATGATGGGCTGTGAGTTGAGCTGACAGTGGATGCACTCAGTGGTAATTTGCTCTTGGTGTTGTGTGATGTTTTTTGCTTGATTCCATAATGCCTCCAGGGACCAGGCTGCTGGGGCTGCTGGGCTGCTCAGGTGTCTGTGCCCGGGTGGATGGGACCAGGGATAATATTTGGGAAGATGCAAAGATACTGTGTCACGCTGCAGATAGGGTTCATGTTAAAAGCTGGTTTATTTTGTACACCTGGTGACTTGCACCGTGTCTTCCAGGTATGAGTGTGTGGAAGCTCAGGACAAAGGTCACTGTTTCATGTTAAGGATGTGGAGCTCATTTGCTGTATTCAAAACGGAACCTGAAGCTCAGTGTGTTGCTGGGTTTTCTTCACCCAGCTGGGGTGGTGTGGGAATGCCTTTTTATCTCCTCTGACAACACAGGCTGTGTGATCCTCTATCCCATCAAGACTGTTGAGTTTGATCCCAGTTGGCTCTGGTGTGCACAGACAGTCGGGCTGGGATGTGCCTGGTGTCACTTGGGGTGTGTGGGGAGAACTGGAGCACACCAGCTACAGACAGAGCTGTGGCACTCACAGCCCTAGTGGGAACCGTGGCTGAAAGCAAAGCCTTTGCTGGGCTTGTAGGGATCTGTTCAAGTGTTCTCTTCTCCCCCTCTAAGCCTGACCTTTCTCCTTGGCATCCTGGCCAGTGACCTGCTTGTCTCCCTTCTCTCTAGCTCACCCCACACGTGCCCATCGTACCACACAGTGTCTGACTTCTCTGTCTCTTCTCTCCTTGTGCAGCCACACCAACAGAGCCAGATTCAGTGGTGAAGAAGTACCTAGAAGAGCTGAAGAGTGCTCCTGCTGATGAGGTAAGAGGACAGTGAATTAACTCCAGCTTGCCCAGTTCACTGGGGTGCCAAGGAAACCACAGCAGTGCCCAAGGGCCATCCTTCCTTGGGTGTCTGGTGTGGTACATGGTGCTGCTTGCAGTGGCATTGTTGATGTGAGGTGGAGAGTCCTCAGCACTGCCTGAAGTTCTCATGTGACAACAGGTGACTTGTCCTCATCAGAGGGCAGTGATGAAGGCACAGTGTGGATTGAATAGCTCATCCTGGCAGTGCCTCCCCATTTCTTTTGGAGGAAGGAGTTTGGTTTTGGTCTCAGTGCTGAGAGGTCAAAACTGGAGATCAAACACTGCACTGGAACTCCTTTGCAGAGAAGCAGGATGTAGGCATGCTGTTCTCTCTGACTGATGACAGCTCTCCACCTCCTGGACAGCACAGGAAGTGGAGTGGAGCATAACCAGCCAGATTAGGAAACTGGTCTCTGTGTCCTTAAATCTCAATTAAAGCTGAAGGCAAATGTTCCTGAAGCATCTCCTTGATGGCTTCCTTGGTGTGTCAGTCCTCAGGAACAGCCTGTGCTCACACCACACGATGGTTTCTCCTCTAGGACTGCATGATCTGCATGGAGAAGCTGTCCTCCCCCTCGGGCTACAGCGACTCGTGCCAGTCCAGCACCATCAGGCCAGAGGCCGTCGGTCGCCTGAGGAACTGCCAGCACTCCTTCCACATGCTCTGCATGCTGGCCATGTACTCCAACGGGAACAAGGTACTGAGCTGGCCCATCCTCACCAGACCCCTGTGTGTAGGTGGCTGGGCTGTGGAGCTCTGATGTGGCTTCTCTCCCGTGGCAGGATGGCAGTTTGCAGTGTCCCTCCTGTAAAACCATCTACGGAGAGAAAACCGGCACCCAGCCCAAAGGGAAGATGGAGATCTCCACTTTCCCCCAGTCCCTCCCAGGACACAAGGACTGTGGGACGATCAGGATTGTGTATCACATCAGCAGGGGCATCCAGGTGAGTGCCCAGCATGCTGCCAGACAGCACAGGCTGGGAGAGCCTCCCAGAAAATTCCTGGAATTCAGTGTAGCGCCTTCTGGCAGCTCTTTGCTGAGCAGCCTGTGGTGCCTGGAGCCAGAAGCTGCTCTGGCTGTTCTTCAACGTGTGAGGGTCTCCTCCATCAGAGATATTTTCCTGAGCAGCTCCAGCTGTTCACCTGCAGTAAAGTCTGATGTCTGCCTGAAACAAGGAGGAGACTGCCCATGATGACAAAGTGGGAAACATCCCACAGTGTGGCTTCACAGCCAACATTAGTTTCAGTGGTGGGAGTGAACTTTCCAAAGGTTTGAGCTGTGTGCCCTTTTTCAGGTGTTATCAGACCACATGGAAAAAGCTGTTTTGCGGTTTGGGGCTGTCTCCCACCAGAATTTAGGCAGAGTATCCTGGCATGAGATTGCATTTGGAGGATCTGTAATACACACATAAGAACAAGTCAGACACCTTGTTCTCACCAGCAATACCTTTCTGCCTCTCCATGGAAGAGCAGGTTTGGGATGGGCCTATGTCAGATCCTGCTGCTGAGGGATTGTCCAATTCATATGACAAATCTGTCTCATCTCTTGCAGGGCCCGGAGCACCCCAACCCTGGGATGCCATACACAGCCAGAGGCTTTCCTCGCTATTGTTACCTGCCAGACAATGAGAAGGGCAGAAAGGTGAGGTATCACACCCTCATTAACATCACCCTTCTTAACTTGTCAAGCTCCTGTTGAGCTGCATGCATGGCAGTCTCCTAGCTGCTGCTCCTAGCTTTGTTTTTCCTTCTCCCCTCTAGGTCCTGGAGCTCCTGAAGGTGGCCTGGAAGAGACGCCTGATTTTCACAGTGGGCACCTCCAACACCACAGGCGAGAGCAACACAGTGGTGTGGAACGAGATCCACCACAAGACTGAGATGGACTCAAACCTGAGTGGCCATGGCTACCCTGACCCCAACTACCTGGACAATGTGCTGGCAGAGCTGGCTGCTCAGGGTGTCACCGAGGACTGCCTGGGCCAGTGAGCCTCAGGGGCCACCTAGTGCACTTATTCCTGATGCCTTAAGTTGCCATTTCTGACCACCCGTCACACTGAGCAATAACAGTTCCGTGGGAGCCCTGCCCGCTCTTCACATTTTTATGGGGGGGTGGGGGGGAGGGAAGGATATTTTTGTAGAAGCTGTGCTTGTGTCTCTGGGTGGGATTGGTGGCTGCAGCCAGGAGCAGCTGGGATGGGACTGAGGTGACAGATGTCCTGGGGAAGGCAGGACCTTCCTTTGGTAATGCCTGAGGACAGGATGGGAGAGGAGTGCCTTGCTTCTAATAAACCACGTGGAAGTCAAGCAGGGTCCTCCTTTTGGGACACATCAGCTCCCTGTCTGAGGCACTTCTTGCCTCCCTCCTGCCGTGTATCTCTGCTCGGTTCAAATAAACTCTTCATTCTCACAGCAAGACCCTGCTCTGCCTTCCTGCTGCCTTGGGGCTTGGGGTGGCTCTCTGGGGAACCAGCCTGCTCTGTGGAGCCACAAACAATCCAGCCAGCCAGCAGGGAGGAGGGGGAGCTCAGCTCTGCTGCAGGAGCACACATCTCAGTGGTCCCAGGGGTCATGGTTCCAGTCTGTCAGTGCTTTGGCCACTGGAGTTTGATGGTCTGTGGCCATGGTGCCAGCAGAGGTGACTTACCAGTGTTCACCCTGTGGGAAACTGCATCCACCTGCTCTTGGCTGTGGGCTGCCAGCCCCACTCCTCCTATCCTAAAGATGAGAGGCAGAACCTGTCCCTGTCTCCTCTTCTCTCAGGTGAAATGGCAGCAATTCAGTGAAGCCTGTGCAGGGAGGAGCTGCTGTGCTTTGTGCTGCTGCTGCTGCTGCAGGGCTGCTGGTGCCACCAGCTGGTGACAGTCACCTCCCAGCAGCAGTGGAGGCCAGCCCAGCTGCTAGCAGCGATGCTCTGGCTGGAAGCCTGTTCCTGCTGCAGGTGCTGGCACCTTGCAAATGGGATATTGTCCCGGTGGCCTTGCTGTACATTGTCCCCAGGCTGCTTGTCACATGGGAGCTGTTATCTTTGAAGAGCTCTTCCCCTCCCTGTAGCCACCACATCCAGCTGCACATTAAATGCATCCAATCCATTCCTTTGGCACTGGTGCCATCTGCCATTGCACCTCCTTCCTGAGAAATCTGGGATGGGGCTGAGCTTTGTGGCATCGCTACCTCGACCTCCTCCTGGACCATCTGAGGGGCACTTTGCTTCCCGTCATGCCAATATAAAAACTAAAGGTTTTTCTGAGCCATTGAGGGGTGGATCTTTCCCTGGTGTGTGTCTGCAGGCTCTGAGGGGAACCCTGTCAAACATCCAGTGAACTCTGGGCATGCTGCAGGAATGGCAGCTCCTTGGGAGCTGCAGTGACGTGTCTGTGCTGCTAATCTCTGCACAAACGGGCTCTGTCTGCTGCTCTCCCACCCTGGTTGCAAAAGGGAGAGGTCTTGAGTTCAAACCTCAGCTTTGTGTCCCTGGATCATGTTATCCCAGCAATCAAAGCAGTGAATTGAAGCAAAAATTGAAGCAGCCCTGCACACAGCAAGAATTTCCTGCTGAGCCTGGCCCAAGGCATCTCCAGCAGCTGCTGCTGGGTGTGAATCAGCTGGAGCCTCCCTGCATCTGGGCTGGTCCAGGGCAGGGGCACTGGGCTGTGGTGAGCCAGCCAAGCTCAGCAGCTCATCCCTGACTGCACAGTTTTTGGGCATGAGGCATCTCCTGAAATCCTTGCCCTCTCTGTGCTGGACCCAAGGTGGCCTAGTCCCTGTGGCAGGGGGATCCAAGGGGTGGAAAGGAGCAGAGCCAGGTGCTCAGACACGGTGCTATAGGGATTTTTACCCTTTGAAAGGTGGGATGAAAGCATAACCATGGTGCCTCTCAGAGCCAGGAGGGGACAGAGCCCCAAATAAACGCTTATGATGCTCCCAGGCACATCTGACCAAAAGTCTTGTGTGCTCTCAGCTGGAGGCCTAGGGAGAGGACAGGGGGGTGTCCCTCCCAGCCCCTGTGGTGATGGCTCATCTGCCACAGGGTGGTTATTATTAGCCCAGCCTTGACCCCGCAGCTATGCTGGGTACCGGCAGCTGAAACTGTGACTCACTGTCCCCCTGCGTCACCCCCCCGCGTCACCCACCCTGCCCTCACCTTGCTGCTGTCACCTTGCCGGCCGGGGAGCACCAGGAAGGGGTCTGGGGGAACTGGGGGGGTCCCTGAGCCGAGTGTTGCTGGATAGGTGCGGGGGATAAGGAGGAGGAGGGACGGAGGCTGCAGCTGCCCCAGTTTTTCCCCTTTGCAGCTGGACGGTGTAATCTTTGAATGCCCCATTTCTATTTAATCTGAAGGCGCGGTCCGGCCCCTTGGGAAGGGGGGGGAAATCTCCTCCCACGCAGGAGTGGGCAGCAGCCGCTCCCCTTGGCAAACACGGGAGAAGGAGCGCTCCCACCCCTGTGCGGGGGGAGCGGCGGTGAGGGGCTCCCGCTCCAGGGCGATATCCCTGCCCCCTTCCCGAGGGCTTGGAAGGGGTACGAGAGATGGGGAAATGTCAGCGTGGGGTGGCTCCAGAGCTGAAAATGCTTCCGCGCTCCTGGTGCTGGGTGGGAGCGTTCACCTGAATGCCGGGATTTGGGATAATTCGGGTGTGATGCTCCGCAGCGCTTCCCTGCCCGCGGGGCAGGGCTGGCTGCACCCGAACCAGTCGGGCACGGGCTCACCCCTGGCTCCGAGGGCCTGGTGGGCACAAGGAATCCGCAGGGAGTTGGGTCTTGGTGGGGCGAGTGGGGTCCAGGACGATTTGCTCGACTGCCCCCATAGCGCCAACAAAGACTGAGCCCTGCCAGCCCATCCTGGAACATGGCCCCGGTGCCTCCTCTGCCTCAGTTTCCCCTTTCACGTGACTGTCTTGTGCCTTGACTCCTCGCAGGTGCCTCGGGGGTCCTGCAGGACGGTTCTCAGCGGGTTTGGGACCAGCGGGTGACTCGGGATGCTCAGTGTCCCCTCTGCCCGCGGGGTCTGGCCGGGCCGGCAGAGCCGGTGCAGGAATGCGGGGCTGGGAGGGTCCGGCTCCAGGACAGGCGGGCCCTGCTGCGGGGGCACTGGGGACAGTTCGTCCCCTCGGCAGTGGGACGGGGTGAGCTGAGCAGGGCTGCACATCCAGCACCACCGGGACGACGCCATGGAGCTGCCGTGGGTGCTGCTGGCGCTGGCTGGGATGGGCGCAGCCGCAGACCTGGGTGACTCCCTTGGGGACAGGGCAGAGAGGGACCGGGATCTGGAGGGGTTGCGAGGAATTTGTGCCAGGGAGGGGTTAATGGGGCTGGGCACGGCCGGGGGGTCCCCACAGCAGTGCTGTCCCCCTCATGCTGGCACCTCGTGCTACCCCCCTGTGCCAGCACTGGTGTGGGTGCGGGCTGGGGTCAGGCGCTTGCTGAGCGGTGCAGAACCGGGGGGTCCCGTGGCTCAATCCCCCAGCCCGGCTGCCCTACGTGCCCCACCTGCCCCCCACGGCGCTGCTGGGCAAGGTCACTGCCACCACCTTCGCTCTGGAGAGACCCCGCTGCGTCTTCGACGGCCACGCCGATGCCTCGGACGCCGTTTGGCTGGCGGTGGCCTTTGCCAACGGTGAGCACTCGCTGCTCCTGCCCGTCCCGCCTGTGGTAGGGGACACTGGGGACCCTCACCCACCATCTGTGCCGTGCAGCATCAGCCGCCTTCAGAAACCCCCTGTCCCGGGCTGACGTGCCCCGGTACAAGCAGCTGCCCACTGCCCGCTCCTACATGACGCTGGAGACGGCGGCGGCCGCTTATTCCTGCTCGGCACCGAGCCCGCCCGTCCTGCGGGTCGGGGCTGACACGGCGTGCAGGGACCAGGGCAGACAGGACCCCTGCAATGGGCCCCTGCCCTCTCCGGGACCCTACAGGTAAGGCCAGGAGTCCCAAAGCCCAGCTGGCCTGACTCGCCACCCGGGGCTTGCTCGTCCCCCCCAGTGTCACCCCCGTTCCCGTGGCAGGGTGAAGTTCCTGCTGATGGGCTGCCGCGGCCCCAAAGCGGAGACGCGGTGGTCTGAGCCCATCCTCCTGCGCAGAGGTACCTGTGGCATTGCCACCCCCCCGCGGGTCCCCTGAACCTGCCTGGTTGGGGTCCTGGCACATGACATGTGCCATCACCCCAAAACCTGCGGGGAGAAGTGGTCCCCCATCCATCGCACCGCCCCTGATCCCTCCGTGCTCCCCCAATCCCTCATCCCGCCTCCTTCCAGCCTCCAGCCCCGGCACCATCGACCCTGCGCCCCCTCGCCGTGGCAGTGCCGTGGTGGTCATCGCCTCCATCCTGGCCAGCCTGGGGGCTGTGCTGGCCACCGCCGTGCTGGGAGCCCTGGGGTACGGGGGACTGCTGGGCGGACACTCGGCAACTCCATCAGCAAAGAAATGGAGATCTCTTAACACTGAAAAAGGCTTTTTATTCTTAAATCGGGGGTTTGCCGTAGTTTGCAGGAGAAAGGGTCTCTTGGGGGTGGCTGGTCCAGAGCTCCGCAGACCCCACTTGACGCCCCTGCTTCTGTCTCCCTGCAGTGCCAAGGTGTGGGGCTCCCTGTGCCGCCAGGATTTGGGGACCGACGCCTTCATCCGCAGATCCTACCGGACCCACCACATCCCCCCGGCCCTGCCCCAGCCGCTGCCCCCCGGCTGCGGGTGTAGCCCCCCAGGGCTGTGCCGCTCTGCCCCCCAGCCGTGCCAGAGAGTCACGGAACAGTTCGGGTTGGAAGGGGCTGTACAGACTCGTTTCAACCCGGGCAGGGACACCCTCCACTAGACATGAACTGTCCTGTCAAGTAAAACCTCATTTTACGTCTGCGACTGTGTCCGCCTGGTGTTCGGCCATGCAGGGTGGGACTGTGAAGTTGGGGACCTCAAAAACCACTTGAGGCCCTGGCTTGATGCCACTTGGTACCGGTGTGGGGGGCATTTGCTGCCACTGGTGGGGTCTGTGGGGCGCATCACCACGGGATATCCCGTTCCCCCCACCCGGGTGAGGGTGTCACCCATCCATGCCGCAAACGCAGCGGTTCTCAGCACGCTTCGCCGGCGGGCGCTCAAACAAAACAAAACAAAATGCTCCCGGGGAAACGAGCCCAACCTGTTTGCCACGGGGCTGCGGCCGCTGCAGGAATGTGGGCGGTTGGTGACCACAGGCGGGTCCCACGGGGACGCGGAGCCTCAGCACCCGCACTGCCTCCCTCGGCACCCAGGCGCCCGCACCATGTTCCCGCTGCTCCTCCTGCTCCTGCCCGCCGCCCACGGCATAGGTGAGTTCAGCCATGGGATGGGCTCGCCATTCCCCTTGGCACTGCGGGGATCCTGCCTGGAGGTGTAGGGCGGCTGATGTCCCTCCCCTATTCTGGATCCTGTTCTGGGTGTCGCTCTGGCGTCGCTGATATTGGTTGACTGGCACAGTGTGGGTTTCTCTGGAGGTCCTCACTGGAGTCCACCAGGAACCCCTTGAACCCGGAGGTGAAGGGCAGCTGATGCCCTCCCCTGTTCTGGGTGCCACCCTGAGTGTCCCTGGTGTCACCCACCCGGGTGCTCCCCCCGGCCTGGGACCATGGAGTGTCTTTGCTTCCCCTTTTAATGAAACGCGTGTCTGAGCCCAGACCGGGGTGTGGGAGATCCCAGGGTTCAGCCGCCTCCTGTCGCTGAACCCACCCCGAGCCCCGGCACCGCTGCCGCCGGTCAGAGCCTCCGTTCCGGGGCTGCAGCGGGGGATCCACACCCTCCACCGCACCCCCTCGGCTTCTCACCGCAGCCCAGCTGCAGTACAGGCCAGTCCTGACCCAGGACACCCGGCTGGAGGGGCAGATCACCGCCTCCACCTTCGTGCTGGACCAGCCCCGCTGCGTATTCCAGGACTATGGCAACGCCGACATCTGGCTGGTGGTGGCCCTGGACCAGGGTAGGTGGGAGCAGCCCAGGACAGGGGGTTTGCAGGGGTCCCTGTACCCCCACCAAGTCCCTCCTCACCCCCATCCCCATCCCTGCAGCCGTATCCACCTTCAACACCAGCGCGGGGCCGGGGACTTCCGAGACCGCATTCCAGAGCTTCCCTGACCCGGTCCGTGCCTACATGACCCTCAATGCCACCCTGAGCAATTACCCCTGTCCCAAACCCGACGGGGATATCACGGTGCTGCGCGTGGGCAGCGAGACGAGCTGCGCCCAGGATGTTTCGAGACCCACGTGCAATGGCCCCCTGCCCGGCCCCGGGCCGTACCGGTGAGGCTGCCCGTGGGGACTGCCCCTCTCGAGGGCTGCCGGCAGCCCCCCGGCTCACGGCACCCTGGCCAACCTCCTTTCCCATCTCAGGGTGAAGTTCCTCGCCCTGGAGGGCTCTGTGCCCGTGGCTGAGACAGCCTGGTCGGCGGAAATCATGCTGAGGACAGGTACCGCTGCCGGGGGTGCTCGTCCTGCCCCCGCACCCGGCCCGCAGCCGTCGAGGGGGGATATGGGGTGGTCCTGGGCGTGTGGGGTGGTCCCAGGGGGCTGAATGCTGAGCAACAGGGGTTTGGGGTGAGGGCTCCTGTGAGCAGCTGGGGAAACTGAGGTAGGGATCTGCCGCGGGTCGTACGGTGGCAGCGTGTGGTGGCACATTTTGCTGGCACACACGAGCACACCGCCACCCACTCGGAGCCCCTGAGCCTCTCCGGGCTGTGTACCCCTGCATCCTGCTCCCTCTCCTCCTGCTCTCTCCCCAGCCAAGTCATCCAGCAGCGTCTCCACGACGGGCAGCAGGCACAGCGCCGGCATGATCGCCATCACCACCACCCTCTCCATCCTCTTCGCCATCCTCCTGGCCGCGCTGGTGGCCATGCTCGTCTTCTGGAGGTGAGTGTCACCGCCGAGTCCCACCCAGCGTGCTGGGACCAGAGGGTGACGCCGTCATCCCTCGGTGCCCACCCTCACCCTTGAGCCCTCCTTCCCTCCCCAGCTCGGACTCGTGCGGCGACAGCAGCACCTTCAGCAAGCCGGAGTCGGTGACGGTGCGGCGGTACAACACCCACCACGTGTATGACCAGCCGGCCGCCCGGCTCTGAGCCCCCGCCGCCCCTCCCAGGCTCCCCCCGTGCGGGGGGAGATGTGATCCGCACCGTTCCATCCCTGCGGGTGGCACCGTTCCACCGCCGCGGGGACACGGCTGGAGCCGCCACCCGGGACGGGGGCGATGGAACAGGACATTAAAGGCTTTTCCGCATGCTTTGTGCCCGGCCTGTGCCTCCCTTTCGTGACTCCTCGATGCCTCCCGCAGCCTCCTGCAAAGCCCCGTGGTCCCCTGAACCCCCACTCTGAGCCCCATCGCTGGCTGGGAGACAGCTCCTGCCCAGGGCAGGGTGCGGCCGGGGATGCTCTGGGGTGGGAGGGGTTGTCACACCCAGCTGGGGCATCGATGTGACCACTTGGCATGGGGAAAAGTCCCCTGGGTTCGGGGCAGTGAGGGGAGCCTGGGCACTGAAATGCCCCGTGAGGTGGGGGTCGTGGGTGGTGGGGGGATGTTTCTCCAACCCCTTTTATCCTACAAAAACTCTTCCTGACCAAGCCCAAAGGAGGCTTGACCCAATCCGTCCCGGGTGCAGCTCGGGTTCCTCTGAGAGCCGTGAGACCCCAAGAGGGGACCGGGAGAGCCGTAAGACCCCAAGAGGGGACCGGCACCCCGGAGTGTCTGATCCTGCACCGGGGGTGTCCCTGAGCCCGGTCTGGGGGATGTGGGGGCTGATCCTGCACTGGTGAGGATTGGGGGGAAGGGGAAGCTGATCCTGTACCAGCGGCTGGAAGGGACCGGATCCATCATTCCCGATCCTAGAGCGGGGCGTGGGTCTCGGGTGCCGATATCTGGGCTGTGGGTGCCCAGATCCCGCAGCCCGGGTAGGATGAGACCCCTCTGGTGCCCCATCCCTCCGTGGGCGGAGCCAGGGCAGGTGTGTGTGTACCTATATACATCAAATACAAATATTAAAAACCCCATTTTCCCCCGCAGGCGCCACGCCAAGGGCAGCATCGCATTGACGCCCCAGCCCGGTCACAGCGCCCTTACGAGGTGTCCTTGTGCCTCCTGGGAGGGGTTTTAGCAACCTGCACCCCCCCCCCCCCCCGCTGCCGGAGCCGCCTCCGTGGAGCCCGGCCAAGGGAAATCAAGCAAATCCAGCGATTAACTCCTGCCGAGATCAGCGTGGGAGCAGCGGAGGGATGGTTCCATCCAGAAAACGCGGCTCCTCTCCGCCCGACCCCCCGTGCCCCGAAATAAAACATCTGCTTCCCCCGCAAAGGGTTTCGAGGGCTGGAGGGGGGTCGTCACCTGCCACGCGTGCCTCGCTGGAGGTGGCACATGTGGCCCTGACCGCTTGTGGGGCTGGCACACGGGGAGGCTCCTGGGATGGTGGCGGGGACAGCACCTTGTCCCCTGTGCGGGGGAGGCAGAGGGGCAGCGCTGTAGGAACAGAGCGCTGTGTTCCCAGCGTGTCCCTGCTGTGTCCCCGCGGGGAAAATGCCAAGGACCATCTTGGCCGGGACAGGCTGAGCCCCAGCTTTGGGTGCCGGCCGAGCCCTCCAGCCCAGGTGGGTCTCGCCATGGTGGGGGGGTTCACCGACCCTCCGCTGGTATTTATAGGGCACCAAGCACCCAGAAATGCCACCTGCCCTCGGGTGTGCTGCAGCCGGGAGGTGCAGTACTTTCGAAACAACCAAAAAAATAGGTTAAAAAATCAATGAAACGGTGGAGGTTTGGGGTGCAGAGCAGCGCGGCCGATGCTGCAGCCCCCCAGGTTCGGGGGTCGCGGAGGGATCCGCTGTGGGTTTGGTTAGGGCTGGGGCTGCAGCGCCCTGGAGCCGCGGGCGGTGCCTGGGGCTGGGGGGCACTGAGGGGACAAAGGGGACAGAGGGGACCCCGCGGGGGGACCCCGGCAGCGCGGGGAGCCGGCCCCGCCCACCCCGCACAGGCCCCGCCCACACGCTCAGGCCCCGCCCCCTGAGCTACAGCCGATAGCATTACCCAATGAGCGCGGCCCTGTGCCCCGCCCCTTTCCCCGCCCCCGCGCGCTGATTGGCGGCCGCCGGCGCCGGCCCGCACATGGGCGCTGTGCTCGGGGCCGCGGGTTCGAGGCCGCGCTCGGCGCCGTTTGGCTCCGCTCGGCTCCGCTCGGCTCCGCTGCCCGCCCGCCATGGCCCGGCGCAGCGCCCTCTCCATCCGCATCGTGGAGGGCAGGAACCTGCCCGCCAAGGACATGTGAGTGCCCCCGCGGGGGCCGGGAGAGGTTCGGGGCGGGGACATCCCGGGTGCGCTGCGGGGTGTCCCCCCAACAGGTCCCTGATGGGGACACCGCCCTCAGGGTGGCCTTAGAGCGTCCTCCCTGCTTTGGGGGCTTGCCCAGAATGGTTTGGGGACCCCCCAGCAGTGTATGTGGTTTAGGGGCTCACCCCCAGGTGGCTTTAGGATCCTCTTTTGGGGTACCACCCCACGGGGTGTTCCCTCCAGGATGGCTTTGGAGTCGCCCTGCATTGAGGATTCCCCCCAGGGTGGCTTTAGGGTCCCCCTCAGCAGTGTGCTTCCTCTGGGGGTTCCCTTCAGGGTGGATTTGGGGTACCCCTCAGACAGTGCATCTACTTCGGGGGTTCCCCATAGGGTGGCTTTGGAATCCCCCTTGCTTTGGGAGTTCCCCCACTGTGGCTTTGGGATCCCCCTTGCTCTGGGGAGGAGCTGGGGGTTTCCTTCAGGACATTTTTGTATGCCCCCCGGCAGTGTTTTGGGTACCCCAAGCAGTGCTCCCACTTTGGGGGCTGCCACGGGGCTGTCCCCACCACAGAGGGACCCTCGCAGGGACCCCCGGACGCGCAGCAGGACCCGGCATCTCCATCCCCAAAGGAGCGGGGGCTGTCCCGGTGCCTTGTCCCCAGTCCCCGCTCCATTCCCAGCCCCGGCTCCATCCCACCTGCCTGAGGACCGGGGGGCAGCCCTGGCTCGGGATTTCCCTCCCAGAAAATCCCGGTGTTCCCCTCATGGCTCTGATCGCTATGGGGCGGGATGTGGGGACAGCACCGGGGTGTCCCCAGCCGCCACCAAGGCACCGGGAAGCTGCTGAGGAGCTCTCGGCAGCCGGAAAAACAGCAAAAATCCCTGCAGCCGTCATGGAAAAAGAGGATAAACAAGGAAAGAAACATGACTTTTTTTTTTTTTCTCTCCTTTTTTTTTTTTTTCTTTTTTTAAATCCCCTGTGTCAGGGCCTGATTTTTAAATCCCTTGGCACAACTCCCCGCCGGAGCTTGACCCAGCACGGGCAGGCTCTGGCTTTCGGGAGGCTCTGGATTTTGGGAGAGCTGGAAAGCTGCTGTAGCACAGCTCCTGGAGCGGAGCTTTCCGGACCGGTGGCTTTGGGACGTGGCGCTGGGCTGGGACAGCGGGGAGGGAAACCCGAGCGCGACCTTGGCCGTGTGTGGCCCCGGCCCCCTCGGGGGATCCGGTTCCCTGGCCTGGCACGGCTTTTGGGATCGCTGCTTTCCTCCGGGGAGTTCCCTCTGCGGGGTGTCCCCGCTGCATGGGCAGCTCAGACCCTGCTGGCGACAGCCGGGGGTGATGGAGCACCCCAAAATCCCCTGGGGAACCTCCAGACCCCACAGGATTTGGTACAGGGAGTGACGGGAGCCCCCCTCAGCTGAGGCTGCTAAATCTTCCTCTGGTCTTTATGCCAGGAAAGCAAGGGAAAGGGTCTGCCTGTTGTTTTGGAATGGCTTTTAATTTTTAAATTTACTTTATTTAGTATTGATTTTTTTTTAATGTGACATTTAATTTATTTTATTTGAATTTTTTATTATTTATTTATTTTATTGGATTTTTTTAATGTTAGGATAAGAAATTACTCCCATAATTTTTAATTTATTCTAATGCTATTCTAATTCTTATCTAATTCTATTCTATTTTTATTCCAGTATTTTCACTTTTAAACTTTGTATTTCATTATTTATTTTTAAATATTTTTTCTTTCATTTTTGCCCCTTTCCCTTTTTTATTCCTTCATTTATTATTTCATCTTTTATTTTATTTTTGTTTTATTTTGTAATTCTAGTTTTAGCTTTTTTATTATTTTTCTCTTTTTTCAGTTATTTTTTATTCCCTTTTGCTTTTAAATTTATTTTATTTTTAATACTATCCTTTTTTATTTTTTTAATTCCATTTTTCTTCAATTTATCATTCTATTCTTTCTTTCCTTTTTAGCTCTATTGTTTCTTTACTTTCTAGCTCTATTTTTTTCTTTCCTTTACTGATCGATTTTTCTTTCCTTTTCAGTTCGATTTTTTATTTAAATTTTTATTTATTTTCCCACCACCCCGCCTAGGGCAGAGCAGCACTGCTGCCTACACCAGTTAATTTTTAATTCCAGCCCTCCGCCTCTCCTTCGCTGCCTGAGGGATGGCTGCGGGTTCCTTCCCCCTTCCCCCAGTCCTGCCTGGGCTCATTTCCTCTTTCCAAAGCCCGGCCTTCCCCTTTTCCAGCGTGCCAGGGTGGGTACCCGAGCCAGCCCCGCACCCACCGAGCCCGCAGCGCCACAAATCCCTTGGCGACATCCCGGGACAGGGATGCGGGCGGTGTCCCCAGCGGAGCAGGGATTTCTCCTCATCCAAACGCTGCGTCTGTGGCAGCTCGGGCACCTCCCGCAGCCACCGAGGGTGGTTTTTTTACCCATCCTCTGAACCGCTGGGAAAAAAAAGCGATGCTTGCGTGGCTTCCCGGCATCCAGGAGACGCGGCTGTGCTGGATGTCCCCGCGCTGGGGACAAGGGTTCGTGGCTTCCACCCGAGGCAGCCGCGCGTTGCCGGGCGCAGCTGGAGCGGGCAGCTGTTCCCTCTCCGCCTGCCCGCCCCCGGCATCCCCGATGGTTTGCACAAGGCAGGAAATGTCAGCGTTTTAATGGCACTTCACCCGCGGCTCTCCTTAAAAATCCTCTGGATGGAATGGGAGCAGGAGCCGGAGAGCAGCTCTTGGCAACCTGCTGCATTCCCAGCCCCTCGGGGAAGTGCCTGGGAACGGGGGTGGTGTTGTGGTACCCGGGATGCACAGCCCAGAGAAATCCCTGCGGCCGTGTTTAGCAGGGCAGGGAGCTTCCCAAACCCTTTCAGTCCTCTCCAACCTCTTCTCAATCCCCAAAACCCTTTCAGTCACCCTCATAACCCTTTCAGTCCTCTCCAACCTCTTCTCAAACCCCCAAAACCTTTTTCAGTCACACTCAAGACCCTTTCAGTTCCCTCCAACCCCTTCAGTCCCTCCAACAACCCTTTGGATTCCCCAAAACTCTTTCAATTCTCCCCAAAACCCTTTCAATCCCCCCAGCAGCTGCCTCCGAGCCTCCCTGGATGTGGGATGTGGAAATCCCTCAATGTCTGGGGTCCCCAAGCCCCCAGCTGTGCACACTCCCTTTCTCAGGACTCTCGTGGCTGGCTGTCAGCACCCCTGGGGTTGCTGTTAATGAGTTCTCCGTGCTCCAAGCTGCTCTGTGCCGGTGGGATGGGAGCCACAACCTTTCCATGACCTTGGCCAGCCCCCAGGTCCTGGCTCCTCTGCCCCTGGCTGGAGTCCTCACTCCTGATCCTGTTTCTGATGGGCCAGGGCAATAAACTGTAAAATCGTGATTATTTTTTGGCAAGGGTGACTCGGGTTATCCCCAGGGAGGAAGCACACTCAAAGCATGGTGGTGGCTGCCCTTCCCACCCTCTGCATCCCTGGGGGTGTCCCTAGGGGTGTCCCCATCCCTGTGGGAGTGTTGGGGGTCTGAGGACACTCTGGGGCGGCAGGAGGCTGCTGTGACTTCACTCGTGGTGTGTGAAATCTGGCTGCAGGTGCCCAGAGCTGTTTTGGGGAAAGGGTGGGTTTTGTTTGCTCCTTGCCTTCCTGTGTGGAAGAGGAAAAGCCACTTCTGGCAGCCAGCGGGACACAGCGGCCGGACACGCTCAGGGAGGAGTGTCCCCGGTCTGGAAGCCAAGTCGGGGTCACCCTGTGCTGGCAGCTGTGGCCAAGTCCCCCCGTGGAAGCCTTTGGCAGCCTCTGTACCTCAGCCTCACCCTCTGGGCTTTGTCTCCACGAGGTCTCCGTTCTGTGGGGGTTGTCAGGGCTGAAGGCTTTGGTCACCCATGGCCACGAGAGTCCTCTGGGCTGGGTGGTGGCCAGGCTGTGGCTGGTGGCACTGACAGAGCTGTCCCTTGTCCTTCCAGCACGGGGAGCAGTGACCCCTACTGCATCGTGAAGATCGATGATGAGGCCATCATCAGGTGAGTGGCCCAGGTCCCTGGCTGGTCCCTAAAACTGCTGGAACCCCAAACCTTGCTCCTGGCAGGTGTCTCCATCTGCTGCAGGCACGTTATTGATATGATTCTTGTTAAGATCATTATTTATTTTTCATTATTATTCCCAACTTTGGTGCTCCTGCAGACACAGAAGTGTCTAACAGCTCATGGCCCCCTTCCCCTATACCCCACCCCTGTGTCTGGCCAGCCCAGAGCCACAGGACAAGGACAGGGATGGAGACTCATCCCTGCCCCAGCTGAGGGCTCCAAACTCTGGGTGCTGCCCCCAGGGCTGGGAAGTACCCCAGAGAGGGAGCCCTGTCCCTCCCTGTCACCAGTGCCACCTGCCCCACAGGACTGCCACGGTGTGGAAGACGCTGTCCCCGTTCTGGGGGGAGGAATACGAGGTGCAGCTCCAGCCTGGTTTCCACAGCATCTCCATCTACGTCATGGACGAGGATGCGCTCAGGTCTGGGCACTCGGCTGGGGGCTCCCTGCATGCTCAGCCCTGGTGTTGACACCAGAGACTCCACAGCTGGCCACGCTGCCCTGGGCTTTGGGACACAGCTGGGTGAAGGGATCTCCGGGGATATTGTCCAGCTGGCAGCAGAGGGTGGCTGATGTGCTCCGTGGGGACGGACGCACCGTGGTGGCCCCAAGCCAGGTTCCCCCAAAGTGGGGGCTGTCCTACCTGGGCACCAATCCCATGCCATGTCCTGCTTCCCACTTGTGTTTTCCAGCCGTGATGACATTATTGGGAAGGTCTGCATCACCCGGGACATGCTGGCAGAGCACCCCAAGGGTAGGGGAAAGAGTGGCTGGGGGGTCCCAGGAGGGACCCATCTCCCACCCCTTGGACCAGCTGGTCCTGAGGGGTTCCCCAATGACCTCTTAGTGGGGATCCCCCCTTTTCCCACAGGATACAGCGGCTGGATGAGCCTCAGTGAGGTGGACCCTGATGAGGAGGTGCAGGGGGAGATCCACCTGCGGGTGGAGGTCCTGGGCAGCCAGGGCAGCCGGCGGCTTCGCTGCTCCGTGCTGGAAGCCAGGTGAGAGGGGACACGAGGGTGCCAGGGGCTGGGTGTGCAGCTGGGACATAGGTGGTGAATCCAAGCTGCTCCATGACTCGGTTTCCCTGGTGTATCTGGTCCTTTGGGTGCAGATCATCCTCCTCATCACCCAGCACGTGCTGGGGGTGCTGGGGCAGGCTCTACCTCATCTGCAGGTCTTTGGGGCATATATCTTGAGATCCCCTGAGAGGGGAGTGGGTGCCACGGGTGCCTGTAAGTATTTTGGGAGGTTGCTGGTAAATTCCCCCTCTTCTTGGCAGGGATTTGGCCAGGAAGGACCGGAATGGTGCCTCTGACCCTTTTGTCCGCCTGCGCTACAACGGGAAAACACAGGAGAGCACCGTGAGTGCGGCTTCAGCCATCCCCAACCTGCCAAGGGTGCAGGTGGAATCAATCCATGGAGATCCCTGTTCCCCAGCATCCCCAGCTTGGTGTCCCTGAGGGACAGACCCACCCAGCAAGAGAGGATGGAGCTGTTGCCTTTGCAGGTGGTTAAGAAATCCTGTTACCCGCGCTGGAACGAGACCTTCGAGTTCGAGCTGGCCGAGCCCGCCGGGGAGAAGCTCTGTGTGGAGGTGTGGGACTGGGACCTCGTCGGCAGGAACGACTTCTTGGGCAAGGTGAGCCCCAAAGCCTTTCAGTGCTGCTGGGTCCTGCCCAGCTGCACATCCAGCCCTCTCCTGCCTTCCCCTCCCAGGTGGTGTTCAGCATCCAGGGGCTGGAAGTGGCCGGGCAGGAGGAGGGGTGGTTCAGGCTGTGGCCGGACAAGTCCAAGCCGACAGAGGATGAGTGAGTTTTGGCACAGGGTGTTGGGATGTGCTGGGGGTGGTCCTGGTGTCCTCAGGGGGGTTTGCCTGGGAAGCTTGAGCACTTTGGAGGGGTAGCTTGGGGTATTGGGCCACCTCCTGCTTGGTGAAGTATCCATCCATCCGTCATCCATCATCCATCCATCCATCCATCCATCCATCATCCATCCATCCATCATCCATCCATCATCCATCCATCCATCCATCCATCAATCCATCCACCCACCCACCCTGTGCTCCTGCAGGCGCCGAGGCAGTCTGGGCTCGCTGCAGCTGCAGGTGAAGCTTCGGGATGAGACCGTGCTTCCCTCCCACTGCTACCAGCCCCTGGTGCAGCTCCTGTGCCAGGAGGTGAAGTTGGGGCGCCAGGTGAGGGTTCCATGCCCAGCCCTGCTGAAGCAGCCACATTTCCCAGCTCTGTGCCGTGGTGTCTGCCTGTCTTGGGCTGCCACGTTATGGTGCCTCTTCCCTCCAGGATGGCCAAGTGCACCTGGTCACCCTCTTGGACGAAACCACCACGGCTGAGTGCCGGCAGGAGGTCGCCATCAACTTGGTCAAACTCTTCCTGGGCCAGGGGTTGGTCAAGGAGTTCCTGGACCTGCTCTTCGAGCTGGAGCTGGCCAAGCCCTGTAAGGCTGGAGTGGGGAATGGAGCTGGAGGCTTCCTTGTCATCTCCTGGAGCTGCAGAACCTTCAGAGGCTTTTGTGGGGATTTTTTTGGGAGTGATGGCTCAGCCATCGCACTGTGGAATCTGTTGGGTTCATCCCAGCAATTCATGGGCTGAGGCTGATGGAGAAGGAGGGGGTTTGAGGTTAGGAGATGCCCATGGCCAGGGGCACAGGGCACAGCCTCTGGGAATGGTTGCAGCTGCTCAGGGATGACCTGTGGCCTTCCTCCAGGCCATGGACCCTCTCCTGTTTTGCAGGTGAGCCCAACACTCTGTTCCGGAGCAACTCTCTGGCTTCAAAGTCGATGGAGTCCTTCCTCAAGGTGCCACACCACCCAAAACCTGCTCTTCCCAGGTCATCCTGGCCCTGGGCCGTTCCCAGGGGAAGAACTGGGAGGGCTGCTGTGCTTGTGCCTCCCCCTGGGACTGGGAGGCTGGAGAAAATCCACTAGGTGACCCTGGGGGTGTCGGGTGCCAAACTTGTGTCCCATCCCTGTCCCCCGTGTCCCTTGGCAGGTGACAGGGATGCCATACCTGCACTTTGTCCTGGGCCCCACCATCACCCGTGTGTTCGAGGAGAAGAAATACGTGGAGCTGGACCCCGGCAAGGTGGAGATCAAAGACGTCGGGTAAGGGACTCGTGGGGGTGGCAGGGCAGGGGTGGCCCCACTCAGCAGGGGTGACAGTGACGGTGCCCGCAGGTGCTCGGGGCTGCACCGGGTGCAGACGGAGGGCGAGGTGATCGAGCAGGGCCGGCAGCACCTCCAGTCCTACCTGGGCGAGCTCCTGGATGCCATCGTCAGGTCGGCCCCGGCGTGTCCCCCCCTGGTCCGCGCCGCGTTCCGCCAGCTCTTCCAGCGCGTCGGGGAGCGCTTCCCGCAGCACCAGGTCGGGCTGGGACGGGGGACGATGTGGGGTCAAACAGGGACATCCCCAGGGGACGGTGTGGGGCCAAACAGGGACATCCCCAGGGAACAGTGGGGTCAAACAGGGACATCCCCAGGGAACAGAGCTCTCTGGGTGTTCAGTGGGGTCCCCTCTTGAGCAGGAGGGCAGCGAGCCCGAACGTCAGCCCTGGACAGCGCTGCATCGCTGTTTTTGGGGTTGTCCCATGCTGGGAGAGACCCTCACGTGTGTT